GGGCACAAATGTCCCTGCCTCATTGCACTGAGACCGCCTTACTACCTGCTCCACTAGGCCTCCCCGCTTATTCCCTGGCTTGGCTGATGTGCTGCGCTGGCAGTGGTGCTTGTCCTGAGCAACTCCCAACTTCATCCCCATTTAAGGCTAGTGGGAGATGGTACACTGCCATGCGGGGACCTGACAGGTGCAGTGTGTGGGGCTAGGCTTCCTGGACTTGCCTGCTGCTCAGAAGACACTGCATTGGATGGCTCAAAGGTGAGTATGTGTAACCTTTGAGCCTGCATTGGGAATGACATAACTCTCCCCCTCCCCCGAGGGTCTGAGGAGACTTGGGACATTGTTGTGATGCCTGAAGTGCAGCCTATTCAGGCACCAAGTGTGACAGGTGTGGAGGCGGCAGTGCAGTGCACAGGGGTATCCAGGGCAGCTACATCACTGGGGCCTTGATCATTTTGGTCTGAGGGCCGACCCAGAAGCCACTGAGGCAACAGGGAAATGAGTGCGGGCAATGTCCAGGCCAGGGCATCAGATCCTGTTGGTCCTAGGATGCTGCCTTCTGTCCTGCTGCGTAGATAAGGTAACAGGGCAACACTCCCCCTCTCCCCCCAATCCCATGAGCTGTTGGCCCCTGCAGGGAGCAGCCAGCCTGGTCATGATGGCCATGTTGCCATGGGAAGCCCCTGACCTCTGATGGAGTGATGCTGGTCCTGCCATGAAGGAACAGAGGCAGGTCCTGCCATGAAGGAACAGAGGAGTGATGCTGGTCCTGCCATGAAAGAACCTCTGATTGGGCTCTGGCTGCTCGCTCAGAAGACACTGTTGGTGCCACACCCACCTTCTGGTTGCCCACAAATTTGGGGTAATCCTTGTGCCCCTGACACCACCACTGCCTTCCGTTTGCACCATGCCTTCTCACATTTAGTTGCACTTTGTTATTCTTATCTATGCCTCAGACTGTCAGTGATCTTTTACAGAAATGTAACTTACTCTTTCATATTCATAGAGGGGTTCACCATGCCCAGTGCTCTTCGTTGTCTCTGAGATCCTCGTAATCATTTGATGTCACTCCCTCCTCCTGAAGAACTTCCTTGTAGTGCAGACTTACTGTAAACATACTCTTGGCTTTTGTCTCTCTGGACAAGTCTCTATTTCACTTTCTCTTTTCACTGGATATAGAATGGTTGGCAGTTTTCTACCCTCAGCACTTTACAGATATACCTGTTATTGTTAATGGCTAGACAGGAAGCCTGTGGGGAGTTACCCAAGTGCATGTGTGAGAGTGGGAGTGAAATCCTCTGTTGTTGGCAGGAACTTGGTCCTGCTGGAGGAAAGAGACACCAGACAAGCCCTTATGGCCAGGAGCCTGGCTCTGTAATGACAGCCAGACTGCTGGGGACGTGCTCTTGAGGCCAGCCCTCCCAGCAATATAGAGAAAGTGGGGCTTTCAGGCCTCTTGCCTGACTTCTCCAATGTCAAATGTATCCTTCTCAGTGTCCTTGGGGAATGAGTGACTTTAAAAGAAAAGTCTTTCAGAGAGGCTACTTGACAGCTATGAGGCCAGTTAGATGCTTCACTGGGTGGCCCACAGGGAGTGTGCGGTCAGAGGAGGGTGGACCAGCATGTATGAGTGCTAGGGCTGTCCTGATGCAGTTCCTTCGCAGGAGATACATCCTGCCTTGTTCCTCTTCCTCCTTACCCTAAATCCGGCCTCAGTAACCATGGCCTCTGGAGCTCAAAGACTTTGCTGTTTGTGTATGGCACACACGTGCTTGAGTTAGCCCCTGCTAATCCCTGCACGGAAATCTGGGCTGAGAGATCTGAGGGCGAAGGAGCCAAGACCCATGTACCCTCTCCCGCTGTAACATCCCAAAGTTCTGCTCCAGCTTTGCACTTGCTGTCCCTTTTGCCAGAGACAATCTTCCTTCCTGGTTTTGATGATCAGGTGCCGGCAGAGAGCTTATGGTAATGACAGGCAGGCTACTTTGCATTACCTGTGCTGTGGTGTTCTCATGTCTACTGTCCCTTCTAACACTCCGTGTTAAACATGGCTGACATCTCTCCCTGCTGTTGCTCAGAGCCCCGGAGTCTTCAGGAAAGTCCTCTGTGGGCCTGACCTGCAGATCTGGCACATACTGATTTGCTTTCTGTCTCTTTAGCTTTGCCTTTTCTGGAAACATATATAAATTGACTGATAAAATGCATGGTATCATATGTTGCTGCCTCTCACTTAGCCAATGGTTCCTAGGTTCATCCATATTGTGTCCATCAGAAGTTTATTTCTTTTTATTTTGGGACAGTATTCTTTTGTTTTTCTGTCTGCCATGTGGTGGACATGTAGGTTGTTCCCACTTTACAGATACTAAGAATAATTCTGGTGTGCACATCTTATTTTTTTTTTAATTTTTTAAAAATATATTTTATTGATTTTGTACAGAGAGGAAGGGAGAGAGATAGTTAGAAACATCGATGAGAGAGAGTCATCGATCAGCTGCCTCTTGCACACCCCCTACTGGGGATGTGCCCACAACCAAGGTACATGCCCTTCACCAGAATCGAACCCGGGACCCTTCAGTCCGCAGGCCGACGCTCTATCCATTGAGCCAAACCAGTCTTGGCTGGTGTGCACATCCTATTAATAAAAGCCTAGTATGCTAAGTGTCTGGTCATCCGGTCAGCCACTCAACCAATCAAAGCGTAATATGCTAATGATATGCTAAGGCCACTCAACTGCTTGCTATGATGTGCCCTGACCACCAGGGGATAGACAGTCAACCAGTCAATCAGTCCCAATGATGTGCACTGACCACCAGGGGGCTGATGCTCTGACCAGTAGGTTAGCTTGCTGCTGGGGTCCGGCCAATTGGGACTGAGTGAGATGGGCTGGACATATCCTGGATCCCTCCTGTGGTTCCTCCCTAGTTGGCCAACCTCCTGCATCCCTCCCCAGCTCCAATCATGCATTGGTGGGGTCCCTTAGCCTGGCCTGGCCTGCGCCTTCTTGCAATCCAGGCTGTGAGACAAACCCCCCCCCCCCCCAGTGCACAAATTTCATGCACCAGACCTTTAGTTTTTGCTTAAGTTCTCATATGGACATATCGTTAATTTCTCTTGGCTAATTCCTAGGAGTTGAATTGCTGGGTCATGGAGTAACTCTGTGTTTGACATTTTAAGTAAGTGTCAGACTGTTTTCCACAGCAGCCACACAGTGCATGCTTCCACCAGCCGTGCACTGAGGGTTCTAAGGTATCATTTGTCTTTCCTGTTCTAGCCATTCTGATAGGTGTACAGTTTGCATTTCATGGATGGGTAACAGCACTGAGCGCCTTCCCCCCCACCTCAGTTGGCCATCTTTCCGTGTCTTCTTCTCATCTCTTTAACCTTATTCCAGGCACAGGCCACTTACGTGTTGTATCTCCAAGGGCCCTGCCAGGACAAGACCCCTACGGGTGCTGTGCTTCTCATTCTCTGACTGGCAGCCTAGGCAGGGGTCAGGTCATGGTCGTGGGTCGGGTCCTGAGTCTACTTTGAAAGGAGCCTGAACCTTGTCTCAATAGCACTGGTCTCTGGATGTCCCTTTCTGACAGCCTAGCAGTCTGGGGCGATGTGTTTAGAAGTTTGGGGTGGTTTCTGGGGCATCAGATCCCATAGAGGTAAGTGCTAGTGCATGGAGTGAGCCCTCAGGTCTGCTTCAGACAGCAGAGTCCTTTAAGATTCTCAGCAACAAAGGAGGCTCCTGATAAACAAGGGGTTGCATGTGTGGCCCTCATGTCTGAGCGAGCTGAGCCGTCTCCCTCACATGCCCATAGCTGCCAGCCCAGTGGCTGATGGACCCATGGGTTCCGACAGGTCAGCCACTTAATAAATTGCGGCCTTGCTTGTTGGTTGTTTCTCCGCAGGAGGTGGAGCCACTCCACCACTCAGAGCTCCTTCACCTCCCCGGGGCGTGCTATGGGCTGACATTCTGGGTGGGAGCTACAGGCAGCGGCTCGGGGAGGTACGGGGCGGTGAGGAAGCATCCCTTACTCGGTGGGCTCAGTGGAGGTTGGAAGAGCCCAGTATCACTGCTGTGTGGAAGAGGCAGGGTTCTGTGGGTTTGGGGGAGGAGGGAGGGGATCATGGTGACAAGCCAGGGCCACACTACTACTGCGGTGTCTGCGACTCAGAAGGTGGGTGCTCTGGGCCCGCGGTTAGAAGAGGAGGTGCAGCCCTCTTGCCTGTATTCACATTCTTTCTGAAATCCCGCCACAGGCTGATGTCTGAATACTTGAAGCTTAAAGTATTCATTTTCAGTTTTTACTATTTATCTTTTTATGAAGTACTGCCACCCCTAGCACAGTAACAAACTGCTCTAAAACTGGCATGGTAGCTAGGCAGGTTTTGGGCTTCATTCTGCCCATGGTGGGGGGCCAGAGTCACCTTATCAGCCTGCCTCCAGGCCAGTGATGCTCACCCACTCTGATTTCCCCTTGGAGGTGGTGTTTGGGAGGCAGGTGATGGGCTGATGATGGGTTTGGGAGACCAGCGAGGGGCTGCTTGTGTCTTCACTTTTGGCCACTCAATTACTCTCAGCCCCAGTTCCCATGCCAGTCAGGGAACTCGTATTGATCCTTCAAAACCCTACTTCAAAGAACTTCCCTGTAGTTTTTAGTTGTGTTCACTCTCACCTTTCTGAGCACACTTTTTATTTATTTATTATTTAAAAAAATATATTTTATTGATTTTTTACTGAGAGGAAGGGAGAGGGATAGAGAGTTAGAAACACCGATGAGAGAGAAACATCGATCAGCTGTCTCTTGCACATCCCCCAATGGGGATGTGCCCACAACCAACGTACATGCCCTTGACCGGAATCGAACCTGGGACCCTTCAGTCCACAGGCCGACGCTCTATCCACTGAGCCAAACTAGTTTTGGCAGCGCACACTGTCTTTACCGTGCTCCTTAGGTAACCGGATGTGAGGCTCTGGATTTATAGGTATCTTTTGTTTTGTTTTTCAGGATTCTGTTTCACTGAGACCATCAATTCGATTTCAAGGAAGCCAAGGGGTGAGTCGTTTTTGTGTTCCTTATATTTGGAATTGTGGGACTGGTACAGTCTGAGCCTGTCATGACTTGTTAGGAGGCACAGCGGTATTTGGTCCCATTCACGTCCATTCCAGGCCCCATGCCAGGCTAAGCTCCACCCCTGGATGTGCCCAGGCTGGTCCTGGGGCCCACAAATGGTCATCTATCTGTGAGCAGAAGAAAGGTGTCCTGTCTAGCACCCCCTAGGGCAGTGGTCGGCAAACTCATTAGTCAACAGAGCCAAATATCAACAGTACAACGATTGAAATTTCTTTTGAGAGCCGAAAACCAACTTCTGTGCATGGGCCACGAAGTTTCAATTGCATTGTACGTGCGCGTGGTATTTTGTGGAAGAGCCACACTCAAGGGGCCAAAGAGCCGCATGTGGCTCACAAGCCGCAGTGTGCTGACCACTGTCCTAGGGTCCTTCCCTTTCTTCCTATAGCAGATTCATACTTGGCTTCCAGGCCCCAATTCGCATTCTGACTCAGCGTCTGAGCTAATTCAAAGCTGTGGCTCCAGAGCCCAAGCAGTGTCCCTCTATGGACCCAGGACCATGCATGGGTGCTTGTCTCATTTTGGTACTGAGTTGGGAAGTTATAGAAACTCAGCACCCCCATTTTATTATGAAATGTACTTTATTCTAAATGGACATATTAATAGAAAAATTAGGGAATGAAAGAAAGGGCAAGTTGTTTACAATCTTTGCCCTCCAGTCTTAGGATCCCATCAGTACCCACCTACCAAACACTCCTTGGAATACTAGTTCTTCTTCCAGCCTTCATTAAAAGTCTTTTTTTTTTTTTTTAAATATATTTTATTGATTTTTTACAGAGAGAAAGGGAGAGAGAGAGCTAGAAACGTCGATGAGAGAGTAACATCGACCAGCTGCCTCTTGCACACCCCCTACTGGGGATGCGCCCGCAACCAAGGTACATGCCCTTGACCGAAATTGAACCCAGGATCTTTCAGTCCACAGACCGACGCCCTACCACTGAGCCAAACCGGTTTTGGCAAAAGTCTTTTGTTTTTTATCTGAAGAGCTGCCACATGTGTCTAAGTCAGTTTCCACCTGAGGGATCTGTGGTGTCACTGAGCCAGGATGCTCCATAGGGAAGCCTGTCGGAGGCGGTGCGTGTGCAGATACAGAGACAGCAAGATGTGCCTGTGGGCAGGCAGGACCCAGTGCCACGATGCAGCAGGGCAGACTGTTTCCTTCTTAAGACCTTCAGCTGATTGGGAGAGGCCCACCTAGACCATTGAGGGTCCTCTCCTTTATTTAGAGTCAGCTGGTCATGGATATCTACAGAACACCTCCACACACACCCAGGTTAGCTCTTATGGGGTCACTGGGGCTGCGGCCTGGCCAAGGACACACAAACTGACCAACACATTGGTACCAGTAAAGGTTGGCAAGACACCCAAAGACCCAGACAACCCCACCCCCTGTGCCTTCTTGAGGACAGCTGTCATTCATTGGCCCCATGAGTGTGGTGGTCACCCTTTTGCCACCTCACTTTATTCTTCCTGAGACATTTCTCCAGGGCTGTTGGTGGGGCTGCCCTGGTCCCTCAGCCCCTGTGGGAAGATGAGGCCAGGGCACAGAAGGGGCCACTCTGGTCAGTGTTCACTTTCCACCATTCCCAGATGCTCCATGAGTTTCTCCTGGGCCATGCCCTCTGTCCCTGAATTCCTATGGAAAGCCTGAGAGCCACATTCATTCTAGATGTGGGGTCTCACCACGTTAGTTTTAGAATCATGTTTTGTCCACTTTTTCTTCCTCCTTGGCTTTCTTTTGCTTAACAGAGTATCTAGAGGATTTCAGCATGGACTGCTGTGTTGCAGCTCCAGGCAGCCCAGGCCATGATTTTTCATCAGAAGGCTCTTCCCTGTGGGAGTCTACGTGAGGGTTGGATGAGCTGTGTGACAGGATGTGTTGTTTTTCCCCCGCTAGCTACATAGAGTCAGGCACTGGGCCTGCCCCTGCGACATCTGTACTTCCTCCTCCTTCTCCTCCTCTCCCTCCTCCTCCTCCTCCTCCTGGGCATTGATGGGACATGTGCCCCTCCCCCCAGCCAGGTGTGAAAGGCTTAGCCTGGTGCCAGGCTGCACGTGCACCATCACCCAGTCTGGCAGGGAGGAGGTAGGGTGCCTTGGTGCTCTCCTCCCACTTCTCCTGGTCACTCCATTGCATGTGCACAGCTGGGCCAACATGTCCCTGAGAAGTAAGGAGCGGTTTTGCTCTTTGCACATCTGCAAGGTTGGAAATGGAACAGGATGTGGGTGTGCACGGAGGAGCAGGAGGCCAGCGGAGCTGGATGGAACAGGCTCTTTAGGCACATGGGCTGCTTCAGTGTTCAGGGACCCACTCCCCGGAGGTCCATGAAGCTAACAGACTGAAGATTGAGACCCCATCTGTAGGCTTCTTAGCTTGGGGACCTTGGCCAATTTTCTCCTCTATTCCTCAGCCTCTACCAGATAGGGACCTTGTTCACCTAGAGCAGTGTTTCCCAAACTTTTGACATATGTGTACTCCTCCTACAATTTTCGTATCGCTGAGTACCCCTCGTACTCATGAGAACGTAGAATTAGGCGCAGGTAAGCACGGTGCAGTGCATATCCCCACCAAACTCCGGTGCAACGCGTACCCCCACCAAACTCTTCCCGAGCCCTGGGGGTACGTGTACCACCCTTTGGGAAACACTGACCTAGAGCAATCATGTCAAACTTGCAGCAGGCTGTGAGTTTGGCACGCTTGACCTAGAGGGTGATGTGTACATTAACGTGGCTTTAGGAGGACCAGTGTGTTCCCTATGGCACAGGATGAGCTCACTCTTGGCTCCCGGTGCTCTTCCCCCTCAGACATGAGTGTGGTTCAGCTGGCACAGGGTCACAGCATCCCCACCACCTCCCAACATAGGCTGGAGCTTGCTCCCAGACTGGCTCTGTGGCACCCTCTGGTGGCCACAGTAGCCCAGTGCACTCTGCGGCATTCACCACATTCCCTGAAGAGCTAGGCCCCTCCTGAATGTCTGGCCTCCAGGACTGTCTCCTGGAGCAGAATAATCACCTGTCCATTTTGGGGGTACGTTTTCACATCTGTGTTCTCTGCGCTCTCAGGGGCACTGGGCTAGCTGACTGGTCCTCTGCTGTCAAGGGGTCACTTCTGAGTTGTGAACCCCTGACAGCTGGTAAAGCACCCCGCCTGGCCAGCCCCACTCCAGAACTCTCCAGTTGAATGAAGCAGGAGAGGTAGGGTTTTGTCCTTGGCGTTTTCCTGGGCTGTGGTGAGAAACATGAGCTGCAATTTCTAGAACAAGGTCTGATAGGGCCGGTCACAGACCTTTGGCCAGTGTCAGTATGTAGGAACCATGTCTATTAGGACGTGCTCAAGATTGAGCCACAAGGTGCTTGTTGCTGTGTTATTGGTACCAGGGATAGTTGGGAAATTATATATATATATATATATATATATATATATATATATATATATATATATAATTTTTTACAGAGAGGAAGGGAGAGATATAGAGAGTTAGAAACATCGATGAGAGAGGGGTACATCAATCAGCTGCCTCCTGCACACTTCCCACTGGGGATGTGCCTTCAACCAAGGTACATGCCCTTGACCGGAATCGAACCTGGGACCTTTCAATCTGCAGGCCGACGCTCTATCCACTGAGCCAAACCGGTTTCGGTAATATATATTTTTAAAATATATATATATATATTTTAGTGACCTTTTGCAGAAAGGAAGGGAAAGGGATATAGAACCAAAAACATCAACCAGCTGCCTCCTGCACACTCCCCACCGGGCATGTGCCCGCCACCAAGGCACATGCCTTTGCCCAGAATCGTACCTGGGACCCTTGAGTCCACAGGCCAAAACTCTATCCACCGAGCCAAACCGGTTAGGGCTGGAAATATCTTACAAATATCTCTAGAATGGGGTTTATGAGTCTGGAGACATCATACACCAAAGTTGAGCAGTTGGAACCTTGGGAGCCTGGGGGCAGGGGGCAGGTAAAGGTGGAGCATTGCTCTTCTGAGCCCCCTGCAGAGGGAAGAGAAGAAGGTGCTTAGAAAGGGCCCTGGGGATCTGCCAGCCGGCAGAAGGGGCTGCTTTGCTCCCAGAAGGCATGCTTAGCCGCAGTTTTAACTCCCCAGAACGGTTCCTGGAAATTAAAATGAAGATACAGACAATGAGGTGGAGAGGGCCAGGGTGGGGGGTAGGGGCAGGATGGAGGGGGCCAATGGGAGGGGAAAAAGAGGACAATATATAATACTTTCAACAATAAATAATTATTTTTTAAAGATATAAAAAAAATGAAGAAAACTGATGATTCCTGATAATCCTTCTGGCAAGAGAGGACCTGGTCATTGGCGTTTGGCTCCCATATCCACCTGTTTTCCTCCTTTTGCCTGAAGGAATATCCAGTGCTGTCCCCCACCATGTTGCTCCCACCCCCACTAGGGACTTGATTTGCCTCCAGAACACTCACCAGCACCTGCTTCCAGAGACCTGGGGAGCGCAGTGGCTGACGGGACAGATTTCAGAGGGTGGAGGTGAAAGACTTCTAACCAGGACTAACTGCCACAGGGGAGGCGGCATCCCCTGCAGGCCTCAGGCCTGAGGCACTCAGGGCATCTGGGATGGGACCAGCATATTTATTGTTTATTGCTCGTTTTTCTGTCCCACAAACACTTGTCCCCATCCCCCATAACCTGGTGCCAGTGCTGCCATCAGACATATCCAAACCCACTACCTATACTCAGACCAACTGGTAGCTCTGAGGCAGTCCAGAGGGCATGTCTATGGCTGCTGCATTGCAGGCCATGTCCTGGAACACATGCCAAGCTCCCTGGCACAGAGACAACTGCATTCCATTTGTGCTCAGCTGGATGGTTTCCTAGCTGGTTCCCAGAGATTGGTAATTATTAACCAGCAACAAACCATTAACCAGAGGATGCCATACAGTGGTACCGCTCCCAGCACACCTCCCTCCCACCCCCCAGCTGTCCCAAGGACACAGGCCACAAGCACTTCTGTGTATGTCTTCCCTTGTCACGAGCTAGGACCAAGCTCTTCTGAGCATTGTTTCAAGTCCTGTGTCACCCACTTTCCTGCACAGACTGGCCTCTGGGCTCAGTGCTGGGCCCTCTGCTACTCTGGGACAAGTTTTGGAAGTGGGCACATGTGCCCAGTGGAAAAGGCCCGCATAGGGTGGAAGGGTCACAGTGAAGTGCCCAGAGGGAAGCATGGTAGCCGTTCCCTGCTCAAGCTCGGGTAGGGCGTCTGCAGCGCGGTGAGTTGGCCTCTGCACATGTCCTGGTCCCACCGTCAGCTCTCTGCTGGTTCCAGGGAGCATCCTGAAGCTGTGATGAGTGGTGTCCTACACCCTGTCCTTGGGCAGATGTCTGCCCTGTCTTGATCCAGTGTGGGCTGTGCCTGTCATGGCTGTGGCTGCATAGTTGCAGAGTTCCGTTTTGCAGCCAGAGGTGGTGTCTGTCCTTCCCATCTGCCTATATGAGTGGGGTTGAGTCTGCCTCACGGCTGCACGAACTGGGGTGGGATAGGTAGGGTGGAAGCTACCCAGGGCCACCAGTACCTTAGAACTTAGGCCGGATTTTTCTCCCCTTCTCTCAGGGGTGACGGTTCAGTGGGGACTGACACCCTCTGCAGCCACTGCCCCCTGAGCAGATATGGGCAAGGAGGAGCCACCACATCTGGCTCAGTGTCCCCGGAAACTGCTTTTTATTTTGCTGACTGGTGTGCAGGCTTCCCGCCACGATCTGGGCAGCTGCATGCTAGGTGTGCACTGGCTGTGGTTGCATCTCCCTGGTGACCCTCAGAAGCCTGTTCACAGCCACAGGACAGTGGACAGACACTCGGTGGGGTTTGTATCCCCAGGGAGGAGGCGGAGAGAGGTCCCTAAGTGGAGCAAAGCTCAAAGCATCTTGGCTGCCCAGCGTGCACTGCTGGCTGCTGACACCATCTTGTCTCATCCCATCACCCATGCCCCCCCCCCTTTTTTTTTTAATCCTCACCTGAGAATATTTTTTCCATTGATACTTAGAGTGGAAGGGAGGGGGAGAGTCAGAGAGAAACATGGATGTAAGACACATCAGTTGATTGCCTCCCGCACATACCTTGACTGGGTCCGGGATTGAATGCAATCAAGGTACATGCCCTTGACCAGAATAGAACCTGTGGCCCTGCAGTCTGTGGGCCAATGCTCTAACCACTGAGAAACCCAGCTAGGCCTCCTTTTACCTTTGAGCATGTCCTTGGCCGGATCTGCCCTTTTTGGTGGGTGAGGAAACCGAATCATGGCCCAGATCTGGGTTCGATCCCTGGCTCCGTGTGTGTTACCCGCTCTGTACTTCTCAGACTGTGGGAAAGAGGACCCTGAACATTACTGGGGACGGGTGATGGGGGCCAGCCCAGAGTCCTGTCACTGCCAGGAAAGCAGAGGTGTTTTGAATTGAAGTGCTAGCAGCGGACATTGGACAGTTGGGATCCAGCCGCTGGTCTGTGCCACGATCCCTCCATGCTTTGGGTGCTCAGTGACGCCCCCTTGTCTCCATGCAGCACATCTCCATCCCCCAGCCGGACTACCCCTCAGAGGCTCGGATCTTCTCCTTCTACCTCTCCAACATTGGCCGGGACAGCCCCCAGGGCAGTTTCGACTGCATCCAGCAGTACTTCTCCAGGTGAGGCCAAGAGGGACAGCCTGCCTCTCCAGCCCCCCTCCCCGCCCCCTACCCTCCTGTGCAGGTGTTTGCCCACCGCTTTTGGCCCGCTGCCTCCTCCCAGTGCCCCCATTCCTTGATTGAGCCCCTCTGGCTGCTTCCATTGCGTCCAGAGTGTAGGTACTTGCATTGTGTCTCTGACCGAGGGGCCTTGGCCCCCTTGTTTCTTCCGGGTAAAGATGTGCCCTGTGGAAACCATATGTCTGCATCAGTGCTGAGCCCTGTTTCCTGGCGGCGGGGGGTGGGGTGTCTCGGGCCCAAGACCATATCTCCGTCTCCCAGGTGTTCATCTTGGCTCCTGGCCCCTTGTCTTGCAGCCATGGGGATATCCACCTGGACTGTTTGGGTAGCATCCAGGACAAAATCACAGTGTGTGCCACCGATGACTCCTACCAGAAGGCACGGCAGAGCATGGCACAAGCCGAGGAGGAGACACGGAGTCGGGGTGCCATTGTCATCAAGCCTGGAGGCCGCTACCTGGGTGAGGATGGGGACCAGGGACTTCAACTCTGGAGGCTCCACTTGGGCGTGAGCGGATTATGCCTTTCAGGCAGCTGTTGGGGAGTAGGAGGCATCCAGAGCCTGTCCAGGCCGGGAGCATAGGTGTGGGCCAGCCCCTGAGCAGGCCCAGCCAGGTCCATGTCTGGTTAGAAAGAAGGTCCTGCCAGTCACCTTGGGGCTATGCCATCTGCTGCCTCCCAAGCCCCCAGGTGGACTCGGGACCTGAAACAGAGAATTTGAATCCTTGGCCTCTCTCCCAGGCCATAGTCTCGGGGACCTTTACTGGCCAGAGACAGACATGCTTCATGAACACAGGGTTGCCATATTTCCTCTGGCCACACCTCTTGTTCTCACATGCCCAGCTGACTCCTCACCGAGTCTGAGATGCCTCGTAGGATACAGACCACCAGGTGCACCCACAGTGGCCTGTGCTGTGTTGGGGCCAGCCAGTGACTGTCGACTGAGACCTGAAAGGAAAAGCATTGGTCCTTGCTTGCCTGGAAGGGTCCAGCAACTCAGCATTTGTTCAGAAATAATTTTGGTGAAAATATTAAAAATGGGATAAAAAGTACAGTTTATTCAGAAAGCTCAGCATCCTGCTGCAGCCTTCTCACCTAGACCTAGATGGAAGTGAGATGTTATTTGAAGTTATTCCTAGGGAAACGGGCATTAGGCAGAAGAGGCATGAACCAGCTTATAGCAGACGAGGACCTCGATGGCTTTATGGAATTTTTTAAAAAAAATATATTTTATTGATTTTGTACAGAGAGGAAGGGAGAGAGATAGAGAGTTAGAAACATCGATGAGAGAGTCATCGATCAGCTGCCTCTTGCACACCCCCTTCTGGGGATGTGCCCGCAACCACGGTACATGCCCTTGACCGGAATCGAACCCGGGACCCTTCAGTCCCCAAGCCGACGCTCTATCCACTGAGCCAAACCGGTTTCGGCTGGAATTTTTTAAAAAAATATATTTTATTGATTTTCCACAGAAAGGAAGGAAGAGGGATAGAGAACTAGAAACATCAATGAGAGAGAAACATCGACCAACCGCCTCCTGCACACCCCCTGCCAGGGATGTGCCTGCAACCAAGGCACATGCCCTTGACCAGAATTGAACCTGGGACCTTTCGGTCCACAGACCGAATCCACTGAGCCAAACCAGTTTCCGTGGGATTTTTCTTTTTTAAGAAATGGTGGGAGGTTTCACATACCCCCAAAGAAAGCCTAGTTGGCAATTGGGTTGGCTCTGAATGAAATTCCAGATGTCTGTGCAGGAGTTCGTCCTGCTGGTCAGTGTTGAGCCCGCCGCTGGGGTCAGAATCCAGGAAAAGCTTCACCTACTTGCTTTCACCTCAAGATGCAGAGACATTCATAGACATCTTAGTGAATTTCTGGGTCTTTCAGCTAAAAACTTGGCCAAGATTTGTCTTATTGGACCATTTTGTATACGATGAGAATTTTTGCAACAGTTTATGTTTTAGTGGAAACAATCATCTGGCCTCTTAGGATGCTGTCTGGCTGTACTTGGTCTCTCCCCATCTCATGTCACACTGTCAGCGGGATCCTCTAGGGACAGAGTCGGGCCCTCCCGAAAGCCTGCAGATTCATTGATGCCCTGCTGGAAGGCCTGCAGATTCACAAAGCCCTTCTGCCTTTGTTAAACTGACAGATCAGATTAGAGGGAGAAGAGCAAAAAGAAGTCATCATGGAAAGGTTTCTGGTCCAAGGGTTTAGGGCATGTGCTGATCTCACTCAGCCATCCACATTCCCTTGGTGTCAGGTGTAGCATCCAGACAGAATTAACAACTTCCTCCCTCGAGAGCAGTGTCTGCTGGCTCGATGGAGGGGCAGCCATGCCGGACCCCCTTGTCTATACCAGGAGAATGTCAGAGCGGCCTGCTGCCCCAGGGCTCTAGGCACAACCATGTCTGCCTAAAGAGCAAGCACTTGGAGCCAGAGCTGGGGAGCAGCTAACACCCTGGGTTCTCCAGAGCAGCTACCCAAGCAGCCCTGGCACCTCTGTTCCCTACTTTTCCATAAAAGAGAATGGCGAACCCCATGGGACCAGCACAGGGCTCCCAAGTGTAGTCGCAGGGGACGCCTGCCTTGGCAGGTCAGGGATCCCCCTCCATTTAACATCAAAGGACTCACAGACCAGCCCCTTCTCCCTATGGTCAGCGTTTTGGTCCCCAGGATTTAGATTGCCCAGGATGAAGTCAGTTATGGCTCTAAACATGCCTATACTTTGCTCCTGATTCTGAGCTTGCAAGTGCCCAGTGAGCTGTGTGTGGTCAGCAGGTGGCGCTCTCCGCCACCCTGGATCTCCAATGAGCAGACTGGGCTAGGCACGCTGCCTTGGCAGGAGTGTGGTGCTCTTGGTCATTGCTTTCCACACTCAGGAACTCAGCATCAGCCCCAGGCAGTGGGACACCATGGCCACCCTCTCACCCCCTCCAATTCTTTTTTTTTTTCTTTTCTTTTTTTTTTAAATATATTTTATTGATTTTACATAGAGAGGAATTGAAAGGGATAGAGAGTCAGAAACATCGATGAGAGAGAAACATCGACCAGCTGCCTCTTGCACATCCCCTTCTGGGGATGTGCCCGCAACCAAGGTACATGCCCTTCACCGGAATTGAACCCGGGACCTTTCAGTCCACAGGGCGACACTCGATCCACTGAGCCAAACCGGTTTCGGCACCCCCTCCAATTCTTAACTTACCTATCACCCTGGTTCTCGTTGCAGGCAAGAAGGTTCAGTTTAGGAAACCAGCCCCAGGGGCGACGGATACTGTGCCCTCCCGGAAGCGGGCGACCCCCATCAACCTGGCAAATGCCATCAAGAAAAGTGGTATTAGCGGGGGCGGTGGGGTATCTCAGAGGCCTTTCCGTGACCGGGTGCTACATCTTCTGGCACTGAGGCCCTACCGGAAGGCTGAACTGTTGCTGCGGCTACAGAAGGACGGCCTGGCGCAGGCAGACAAGGACACGCTGGACAGCCTCCTCCAGCAGGTGCATGCCTACCCAGGGCTGGCTGGGCTGGGGCGGGATGGGATTCAGCCAGCCTGTGAGCAGCCTCTGCAGACGGTCTGGACGCACAAAGGATTGGGAGTATGTCATCTCGTCTCTGGTGTCTTGAGGTCAGCTTAAAGCCAGGCCAGCACCCTGTTCCTTAATATCCTGTGGCACATAGGCAGCGGGCACTGCACAGGAGATCCAAGCCTTCATTTGCACAAGCTTTTTAGAATTGAGTGGAACCAGGGAATGCGCATGTTAGTGAGAGCCCTCACCAGCCATGATCACAGGCAGGAGGCCTCACCTCTGGACCTCTGGGTTCCGTCTGTGGCTGGGGCACGGCAGCAGCACCTCTTGTGGTGCCTGGGGCTTACCTGGTGGGAACATGGTGCTGGCAGGTGAGCCTGCTACTAAGAAACCGCCTGTGCTTTGGAGCAAGTGAGGTGAGCCCAGCCACCTTCCCGAGGCCCTGCCCTGGTTCCCAGGATTCTGGGAGGTGGCTGTGTCTTACCCCCGGAAGTGAGAGGCTTGCTCTGGCTTCACCACGTCAGCCAGGCCATGCTGATATGCCACTTCATGGTGGTGGTGTGAGGACAGTCAAGCCAGCACCCGAGGTGGAGGTGTGGTCGAGCCTCTCCAGTTCCCCTCCACCCGCTCACCTGTTCTTCCTGTTTTCTGCCTCCGACACTCTGGGTACTTGGCCCGTGCCTCTTGCGGCAGAAAGCCCCTGCCGAGATGGTAGCTGTACCTGAGGATGACTTTTCATGTTTGCCAAGTTCTTCAGCGGGCCTTTTGGTGTTCATTCTCTCCTTCCTCATGCAACCCGAGGCTCTTGTGAACCATGCAGCGTGTTTGGTAGGAGAATGTCAGCGCCATGCTCCAGCTGGGGTCCCTCGTTACCCCTAGCCCCAGAGAGTTCACGGTAAAGGGTAGGGGTGGGGAAAAGAGGCCTCTAGAAAAGTTTCCCCCTGTGGAAAAGTTGGAGCTTCGTTTCATGCATGGTTGAAGATCTGGGTTGGGCCCAGGCACCCCCCCCCCCCCATTATCTCTGGGGCACCCATTATCTTTGTCTGGGAAGACATCTCCTGTATTACCAGGGCTTTCGTAATTATTGACACTTGACATCACCAGTATATTGGGGGCTCCCATGTGCTCTTACTTGGCACCCATGTGTGGCTTTGGCCTCCTGCGGCACCAACCCCAGCTCATAGTTTGTGCTGAGAAGGACCAAGCAGTGATTTTTCTCCATGGGAGTTCAGGAGTTGGCTCAGGGGCTTGCCAAAGCTCTAGAAAGCTGCAGAACCAGAACCACCCTTCCCAGGGGGCTCAGTTCCTTGGAAAGTCAAACGTGTCAGTCTTGTCCTCACAAATAAAAGGTAAGCACATTTAAGGTGCCCCCAGAGCCTTTCTCTGTAGCACGGGGAGACCAAGGTAGGGATGAGGGGAGTTTGGTGGAGCTGTCAGGTGTGAGTCAGGACTGAAGATACAGGTGGGACCCATGCCTGCCCCTGGGTGTGCCTGCAGCCCTCACTGCTGTCAGGCTAGGCCCTCAGCCTCTGGTGTGGCGTTCTTAAGAATGTCCTCACTCCCGCCCTCCCCTCTTGCCTTGCTTATGCCTGAAATGAAGGAGAAACACTAGAGACCCTCAAACCCCGAATGTGAAACAGAGCTGACAGAGCACACAGATACACCCGAGGTTTACCCTCGGAGAGGCCCTTAGACACGGCAGGACGCCACACTCCATTTTCTAGAGACGGGTCTGCGCATGGACCAGCCTGGAGCAACCGCTGTGTTACCCCCGGACGCTCTCGTTGCTCCGGGCCCTTCTGGAACTAGGGAGGCACCGTGATGGGCTATGGCTCCTCCATCAGCTTGGGTTGTTGGCAGCCTCCTGGAGGTAGCCCAGCCAGCATCTACAGGCAGAGCGTCCTCCTTGTGCCTGCTCTGATTTCTCCTGAACGGCCCCATCTGCCTTGTGCTTCTGTGTTCACTGCCCAGGTAGTGCTCCCCAGTGATTGTGGGGGGCAGCGGGGCCCTGTCAACTTGGGGAAGGGGAAGGTCTTCAGGAATCCTGTGGCTGCACCTTGCCTAGGCTGGTCAGCCTCACATATGACCAAGTATCTGGTTAGCAGCACTGACAAACTGCGTTCCTCAAAGGAACCTCTCTCCCTTCTGTGGAAACATTTAAGGCATCTGTCTCCAGGGCCGGCTGGGCTTCAGAGAAACCCAAGGGCTCCTCCTCATGGTGGCAGTGTTGACCTGTTGGTCATGCTTCTAGAGAGTATTTGAGCAAAATGTATCAAAAGCCGTAAAAGGTGTTCAGAGCCTTTGACCCATTAATCCCGCTTCTGGAAGTTGGTGAAAAAAAGAACAGTTGCCTGCATGGAAAAGCCTGCACATGGTGATGTCTGTTTATGCTACAGAGAAACTGGAAACAACTGCATCCAACAAAGGAGAAATATTTGAAATCAGTGTGGCCATTTGGTGGAATATTATTCAACTGTTAAAAATGCTCCTTGTGGCCCTGGCTGGGGTAGTTTGGTTGGTTGGAGTGTTGACCCATACATCGAAAGGTTTCAGGTTCAATTCCCGGTCAGGGCACATACCTGGGTTGCAGGTTCGATCCCTGGTTGGCGTATGAACATGAGGCAGTCAATGTTTCTCCGTCCCTCTCTTCTCTCTCTCTCTCTCTCTCTTTTTAAAATATATTTTATTGATTTTTCACAGAGAGTGATAGAGAGTTAGAAACATCTATGAGAGAGAATCATGGATCAGCTGCCTCTTGCACACCCCCTACCGGGGATGTGCCCACAACCAAGGAACATGCCCTTGACCAGAATCGAACCTGGGACCTTTCAGTCTGTAGGCCAACGCTCTATCCATTAAGCCAAACTGGTCCCGGCCCTCCCTTCTCTTTAAAAAATAAAATATATCCTCTGGTGAGGATTTTTTAAAAAATCCTTACCAGATAATTTCAACATCTGAGTAATATTAGCATTGGCAACAGCTGATAGTCCTTTAAAAATGTTCCTTGTGGAAATCACTGTGACATGAAGTCCTCTCAGAATCCAGTAATAGGGAGAAACAGCAGCACAGCTACACATGCATGTGTAGACGACCAGGGCGCCCTTCAGCACTTCAAGCACCCTTAAGGCGGGTGTTTAAAACCCATCTTCAAAACCCATCTTAGCGACCAGCTCAGCTTTCATTGGCAAATGGGAGCAGAGCTGGCTGGTGCATCGGAGGTAGGCTCAGTCCGGCCCCTGGAGGCGCTAGCACCCCAGCCTCTGCCTCAGTAGCTGCAAATCCTAGAGGGGTGTCTTCCTCCATTCAGGCTGCTGTTGCAGTCCCATGGACCTGGACGGCTCCAACAACAGACATTTACTTCTCACAGTTCTGGAAACTGGACTTGCAAGATCAAGGTGGTGGCAGATTGGGTAGCTTTGAAGGCCCCCGTGGTGATTCCTCTTCACACTGTGTCCTTACATGGCAGAAGGGCAAGGGAACCTCTTTTATAAGGAGACTAATCCCAATCACGAGGGCTCTGTTCTCATGATTTAAACACCTCCCAAAGGCCTCCCCTCCAAATACTACCACATACCATAACATGAATTTTCAGTCCATAGCAGAGGGAGGCTGATGATGGGGTTTATAAATGGTAGCCCCCTTTCTAGAGTCACTCCGGCCCCCAGCAGCTGTGAGAAGTGTATCTGGACTTAGTGCAGAGGAGCTGGGGGAGTGGTGCTGCCCTCTTCCCATCCAGGACTGTCTGTCTGTCTCCATGCTCCATGCTGCCCACGAAGTGACGCTGGCTCTGTGTTGCAGGTGGCCAACATGAATACCAAGGATGGCACTTGCACACTGAAGGACTGTATGTACAAGGATGTGCAAAAGGACTGGCCTGGCTACTCAGAGGGGGACCAGCAGCTGCTAAAGCGCGTGCTTGTCAGGTAAGGCCACCTCTCCTGGGCCTCAGTAGATCTCAGGGTGCTGGGTGCCCTTGTCTAGTTCCAGAGGCTTCAGGGCTGAGAGCGGGGAGAAAGGCCCGTGGGAACTCTGGCCACCTTCTCATGCCTGGACAGCCACCATGGCCTCCTGCTGGGGGGAAGGCACCCCCGCTGTGTGGGCTCGAGCGCATACTTCACTCTCCAAGGGCTTCTGCTTAGGCTGTGCCTTCTTAGAACCATTTAAGAATGTGAAGCAGACAAAACAAAGCTCCCCACAGACATGACTAAGCAGGTTAAATGCTCCCTCTAGGGTGAAGGACCAGAGGTCAGGAGGGGCCTGGTCAGCCAGCGGTTGATTCCTTCTCTGCTGGCTAGCTGAACAATAATTAGTTCCTTAGTGATTTCTCAGGACCTGGAGTTCTTTATGAAGTTGTTGTGTGTTTTTTTTCTTCCTCTTCTCTTTTAAGTTCAGCTCTTTAAAGCAGTAATTGCATCTGGAAAACAAAGCTGAGTTGGGGTCACTCTCGGTGAACCCCAAGTTCCTCCTGAGCCCTGCAGGGCACTCATCCCCAGTCCAAGGTTTCCGGGTGCTGGGAGCTAAAGGAGACAGTCTCTGTGGGAGCGACACTCCCATGTCCCCTCCCTGGCGATCTGTGTCCCAGCTAAACACGCTGGGTTGCCACTGTCCCCTCCGGCAGGTGTTTTCATTCATCACCTAATTTTTGGTTTAAAAAAAAAAGGTCCAGTGTTGAAATGGCTGATTATGCCTACCCAGGAACTTTGAGGTGGCAAGGGGCACTTGAGGGGCACAGCGAGGCTTCTATCCTTTTATTTTTATTTATTTATTTATTTATTTATTTATTTATTTATTTATTTATTTATTTTTAAATATATTGATTTTCCACAGAGAGGAAGGAAGAGGGACAGAGAGCTAGAAATGTCGATGGGAGAGAAACATCAACCAGCTGCCTCCTTTACACCCCCTATCGGGGATGTGCCCACAACCAATGTACATGTCCTTGACCGGAATCGAACCTGGGACTTTTCAGTCCACAGACTGATGCTCTATCCACTGAGGCAAACCGGTTTTGGCCTATCTGTCCCTTTAGAGCTTCTCACCAGGTGCCTAAGTTCCTAGACCTCAGGGCCTTGTCCTCACTGAATTTCCAGGAAGGGGCATGGCTGAGAGTGAGAAGCCCATATGCATGTTTGCATACAAGTGTGTGTGCACTTGTGTGTGTATGGTCAGTAGGAAATGGCACTCGGACGTTCCCCATCCAGCCCTGTGCACACATCCACATGGGCAGCCTTGCAGGTGATCTGGAGCAGGGGGGCAACATGGCCCCCATGGTCTGAAAACTTACCTGTCCTTCCTGTTCTTATGTGATTGGGAAAGGGTCTCACTATCCTTCCTCCTGCTTCCTCTAGTTCTGCAACTGGGGCACTCTGCTCCCAGACTCTTCCCATCGTCTTCCCTGTTATCTTTTCTCTCTTTTTTCTTTAGGTAGTTTCTTTGGCTTCTCCCAACCTGTCCTTTTGGCCATCATTTGTAGTTCCCAGGAGTCCTTTTATTCTCTTTTTATAGCATCATGTTCTTTTATTTATATTTAAAATAAATATGTTTTTATTGATTTCAGAGAAAGGGAAAAAAGAGGGAGAGAGAGAGAAACATCGATTGGCTGTCTTTTGCAAGCCCTCTCATGGGATTTGAGCCCACAACGTGGGCATGTGCCCTGACCGGGAATTGTGCAGGCAACGCCCTGGTGCATGGGACGATGCTCAACCAATTGAGCCACACCAGCTGGATATATCATATGTTCTTATCCATGGGAGTGATGCCGTTTTAAATTTACTCTTAAGGAAATTTAAAAAAAAAAATAGCTTTATTGCCGAAACTGGTTTGGCTCAATGGATAGAGCTTCAGCTTGGGGACTGAAGGGTCCCAGGTTCGATTCCGGTCAAGGGCATATACCTTGGTTGCGGGCACATCCCTGGTAGGGGGTGTGCAAGAGGCAGCTGATCGATGACTCTATCATCGATGTTTCTAACTCTTTATCTCTCTCCCTTCCTCTCTGTACAAAATCAATAAAATATATATATTTTTTAAAAATAGCTTTATTAAGATATAGTTCACTTAACACAAGCTGTTTTGGCTCAGTGGAAAGAGTGTCAGCCTGGGGACTGAAGGGTCCCCCATTTGATTCCGGTCAAGGGCATGTACCTTGATTGCAAGCTGGTTGGGGCATGTGCAAAGGCAACCAATTGATATGTCTCTCTCACACCTATGTTTCTCTCTCCCTTCCATTCTCTCTAAAAATCAATGGAAAATATCCTTGGGTGAGGATTAACAACAACAACAAAAAGTATACAACTTATTGGTATTTAGTGCATTCACAGTGTTGTGCAGCCATGATCTCTAATTCCAGAACATTTCTATCACCTCAAAGAAGACTCCTCGTTAGCAGTTACTCCCTCATTGCCCTCCCCTAACTCCTGGCCATTCATTTTCTCTTCCTATGGATTCGCTTCTTCTGGACATTTCATATAAATGGGATCATACACCATGTGGCCTTTTGTCTCTGGCTTCTTTACTCATAATGCTTTTAAGGTTCATCCAGGTTGTAGCATAAGTCAGTTCTTCATTCCTTTTTATAGCCAAATAATCTGTTAGATGGATGGGCCACATTTTATTTATTCATCTTTTCTTTTTTTCTTTTTTTAAATATATTTTATTGATTTTTTTACAGAGAGGAAGAGAGAGGGATAGAGAGTTAGAAACATCGATGAGAGAGAAACATCGACCAGCTGCCTCTTGCACACCCCCTAGTAGGGATGTGCCCGCAACCAAGGTACATGCCCTTGACCAGAATCGAACCTGGGACCTTTCAGTCCGCAGGCAGTCGCTCTATCCACTGAGCCAAACCGGTTTCAGCTATTCATCTTTTCAATGGATACCTGGGTTGTCCCCACCTCTTGGTGTAATTGTGCTGCCATGAACATTTGTGTCCAAGGATTTTGTAGTCATGGATTTTCAGTTCTCTTTAAACATATACCAAGGAGTGAAGTGCTGAGCCACATGGTAATTCTATGATTAACTTTTTGAAAAACCACTGTGCTCACCATTTTACATTCCCACCAGCAGGAGCAGAAGTCAGTTTTCTACATCCTCACCAACACTTACTTCCTGATGTTTTAGTCTTAACTGTCCTAGTGGGTGTGAAGTGTATCTCACTGTGAGTTTGATTTGCATTTCCCTGGTGAAGAACAATGCTGAGCACCTTCTGTGTGCTTGTTGCCCTTTGCGTATCTTCTTTGGAGAGATGTGATACAAGTCCTTTGTCTTTCTGAAGATACTAAGACTGGTGTGTTGTTGTTGTTGAGTTAAAGTTTTCATCCCTTTCCAGTCCTTCCTTTCAAATGAATTTTTCTGTCTATTGTGGAGCCTAACATTTGTTGCCTAGAAGCCCCCTTCTCCTCAGGACTTTCCTCTGGGCTCTGACTCTTCTGGGGGGCTTCTCTGTTTCCTCCTCTCCCGGGGCCACACGCCTGTCCCTCCTGGCATCCAGGCGTGGCCCCAGCAGCCTCCCAGGCTCTCCTCCTGGGCTGCTGTGGGCTCTGCAGCAGATCCGGCCCCAGCGCAGCTGCGCAGGAACAGCCTGGTGGGAGCGCCTCCTCTGAGGTCCCTGAGGCTGCAGCCCCCAGGCCTCAGGATTCTGTGGCCTGGGACTGGGTTTCCTGGAGCCCATATTTCTGCGTTAGTGTTAAATATTGTTGTTCTCTTGTTCCCTTTCCTCTCCATGCCTTTAGTGGGGAACTTGAAAGAGAGTGAAAGAAATGCCTGTCTTTGGTTTTCAGTCTTTAACCACAGCTCTGGTGGCTTCCCTGAGGCTGGACAGCAAGCCTGCCCCTCCTTAACCACAGGGACCGTGTTGCCTAGCGAGTGCCTGCATGTTTTGGGCACCTTTCCTGTGGCTCTCTCCTTGGACCTCAAGCAGGGGGTAGCGCAGTGGTTTGGAGTGTGGCCATTGGTCAGGGAGTCAGGCTTGCGTGTCACTGGTTGAAGCAGCGCAGACGTGGACCTCAGTCTCCCTGCTGGGCCGGAGGAGGGCCCTCAGCACCACACACAGCACCAGGCTGGCATCAAGCTTTGGGGTGTCTGACCCTTCTTCTATCCCTGGCTGCGTTGTTCTGCTCAGGTCCAGGTGGACCAGTAGCCACCCCTGTCATCCACAAGGAGGTGCTGTGGCCTGTGCTCTCAGGAAGGAGGTGCTGAACCCAGGAGGCCTTCCTGTCACAGACCAGGGTGTCGCAGTTCCCTTCTATTCTCTAGGTTTCTGCAGTCAGCCTCATTATCAGGGTAAACATTGAGTGGCCAGCACCCCGGAGCCCCAGCTTCCATGGGTAAACAGTACAGACCTGGAGTGTTTGGTCAGTTTTATATGGTTCCCTGCAGCAGGAGTCCAGATGAGTGGGTGGTTAGCTGATCCTTCTCTGGGCACAGGACACCAGGTGGGCAGTCCTCTGGGCAGTGAGGCCACAGCTGACGGGCAGCCATGGATAAAACTAGGACAGGTTGCACTCCGGCAGCTCTGCCCACCAGGCCCCCACATACCTGTTATGCTCACCCTCCTCTGGTTCAGGGCAGCAGCCCCTCCCCATACCACTCGGCAAAGGTGGAAGTGTGGTGTCAGTGCAGAGACCCGTGGGCCTGGGTGTGCCTCGGGTGCTGCTGCCAGCCACCACCCAGCCTGATTCTCCTTCGCAGAAAGCTGTGCCAGCCCCAGAGTGCAGGTGGCCTCCCTGGAGAACCTGCTGCCGCCAGCCCTCCGAGAGAGCACGGGAGCTCGGCCTCACCCCCCCAGGTAGGAGCGGTGGGCGTGGGCATGACAACATGGCGCTGCTGGTGCTTGTGGAGGAGGAGGAGCGTGGTCTCAGCCAGAGCCGGGGGCCTGGCCCAATCCTGGTGTTTGGGAGCCTGTTGAGCTCTTGGCTCAAAGCCTGGGACATTTCTTCAACCAATGAGCAGCTAGCTGTCCGGGAGGCCTGGCCAGGACCTGGGTGTGCTTCCCTTGGACACCTCCCAGCAGTGGCCAAGGGAGGACAGCACTGGACTGCCTGAGCCTCGTGTTCTCTGGCCTGTCATGCGTAAAGTCCTGTGTGCTGGCTGCGGGACAGAATGGCACCTAGCGGGCCTGTGAGCAGCGGCTGCTGCATTTTAGGCAGTAGCCAGGAAGGGCGGCAGGGCTGGATGGGGGCAGCACTCGCCTGGCTCTGACTGGGGTTCTTTGGCTGTGCCCCTTTCATCACTGCTTAAGCTTTTTGGTAAAAATTATCCCCACCTTTGTGCTCTGACTTGGGAGTCCCACATTCGGGCCCCTTTCCTCCCCCTCCACTTCTCCCTCCTCTTCACCCGCCTCTTCTTCCCTCTCTCCCTCATCTCCTCCTCCTCCTCCTCTGGCCTGGAGCACCCAACACACCCCAGATCCATGCACACCCCAGCTGTGAGGCCTCATTTCACTCCTACCCACTGCCCTGGGCCTGCCATCTGCAGTCTTTCTCTCTTTAGCTGTTTCCCAGTGCTGGTTCCCCTTCTACGCTCTGTCCTTGCCTCTCACATACCTCAGTCTAATCATCTGTGAAATGGGCATGTGAGACCTGCACCATGTCAATGGGCTGCCGTGAGATTGAAGTAGTCAGGGGTTTGGGGTGATGGGTCTCAGCTACTGGGGCGCCCTGTGTCCCTCAGATTTGGCTTGTCATCTGGGGAAGGTGCTGAACACAGCGACATTTTAGTCCAGTCTCTGAAGGTGGTTGGGCCAGTACTCTGATGACGTAGCTGCCCTTCCTTCCTCTGCGTGTGTCCTTGGGATGGGCACCAAAGGCCTAACTGGTGTGTGGGCGCCCCTGTGTGGCTGGAGTAGGCCTTGCAGGTGGGCACTGCTGCTCACTTAGCTCAGGTTGGCCTGTTGCTGCCAAGTCCCAGGGATGCCAGCCACTTCAGCTACAGGCTCCCCTCTAATATGATCTCTCTTTCTTCCCAGAAGCGTCCTCAGCCTCCTGATTTCATTGACCCCCTGGCCAACAAGAAACCAAGGATATCGCACTTCACCCAGAGAGCTCAGCCTGCCGCCAATGGGAAGCTGAATGCGCCCCATGGCCGGGAGGCCCTGCTGCCCACCCTTGGCCCACTGGCGGGCACAGATGCCCACCTCCCCCCACGGCTGGATCCTCCGAGGGCACACGACCCTCTGGCTGATGTCAGCAATGACCTGGGCCACAGCGGCCGGGATTGTGATCACGGGGAAATGGCCACCCCAGCCCCTGCGTCCTGCCTTAGCCTTCCCCTGCTGAAGGACTGCGCCCAGCCCAGCAGGCCCCACGGTGGCTTGTCTCGCGGCAAGTCCAAGAAGAAGTCTAAGAAGCACAAGGACAAGGACAGGGCAGCTGGGGACAGGCATCGAGCCCGGCCGCCAGAACTCGTGTCTGGCTCCCTTGGAGCCCCGCCAGTCAACCTGGGTAGGTGCTGAAGAGCAGGCCTGGGGCAGGGGCGCTGCAGGAGGTTACTGCCAGGAGCCTGAGCACCAGCTCCACATGATGCCGAGGGTGCCACAGTGCCCCGTGCACCCATGTTAGCTCACTCTGCACAGGCAGCCCCTTTGTACCCTGTGTTCTCACACCGGGCATCAGTGAATGACTCAGAGGTCTTGGCCCAGAGCCTTCTGCAATCCTTTATGTCTCAGGCCAGCACTGGGGGCTAGAGACACAGATCCGACCAAGCTGAGGCTCACAGGAGGGGCAGTGCATGGGCATAGGAACAAGTTCCAGGCACAGACACTGAGAGGAGGCAGGGAAAGCCAAGGGAATGGCCTGGCAGGAGGAGGGCAGCGCCTGGGCTGCCATGGGCCTCGTGTAGCCTGGCCATCCTGTGCAGAGAGGGTTTGGGAGGTTCACAGGACAGCGGGCAGCAGGAGCCAGATGGTCACACAGCCAGCTGTCTGTTGAGAAATCTGGGGTCTCAGCAGCAGGATGAGGGATGGTATAAGGCCTGTCTGGGCTATGTACTGAGCAAGAAAACCTGTGGGGCCGAGGGACACTGGGGAGGCCTGTGGACAGGCCAGGCTGGCTGCAGAGCCGGGGCCACCCTGAGTTCACAGCCCAGGCACCTGAGCTGAGCACCTGTGTGGCTGTGAATTGTTCAGTATGTAGCAGAACAATCACAGTGTGCCACCCAACTCTCCCCGCCCCCGTACACACATGCAGATAGTCCCAGGCTTGCCACCTGATGTGGCTCTGGGTTCATTTCCCCAGGAAGGGTCCGAATAGGGGCATTCCTGGTAGCAAAGCTGTTTTTTCTTCAGGTTTTTTAAGGAGTTACTTGACTGCCCTCCAGAAATGCTGTTACAGACCCTCCCTGTGGCTGGGGGGGGGGGGGGGGGGGCACGTCCTAGCAGACACGGGGTCAGACCTCTGGGTTCCTTCTTGGCCCTGCTGTGCCACCGGGCTTCCCAACACCTGGGTAGACAGACTGGAGAAGGTGGCCTGATTTCCTGGGTGCCCTTCTCACCCATCTTGGCCAGGGAGGCAGGTCCTCGGCTGCCTGGTCCAATGGCACGTCCTCCCCAGTGGGAGAAGCCAGCCCCTGGTGCCTCTAGCAGGGCCCTGGGAAGGAGGAAGAATGGGGCCAGGAAGTTGTAGCCAGGTTGGCCCCACACACATGGGGCTCAGATCTTGCCTGTTGTGAGTCGGCCAGGCAGCTCATACCCAGTCCCCAGGCTGAGGAAGAAAGAAAGGTTTAGAATCGGGCAAACCAGGAAGAGGAAAGAGATGGCTGAGCATCAGCTGTGTCTGGCAGTGATGATCATCTAGCAGGTGACTCACGTGATAACAATAATGGGTGTGCTCAGAGCCCTCTTCGCCCGGTGCTGCTCTGGGCATGGGATGTGCTGTGCTTGTGCAGGCAAGTGGTTCTCTGGCTCCAGGCCCCTCTCAAACTCCGAAGAAGAATCCAGGCCAGCACCTGAGGAAGCTTCCTGCATTGATTTAACCACTGACCCCTAGTCTAACCCTGTTGTCCCAGCCCCATCTAATGATTACCTCTGACCCGAGAGGTGCGACTGCCCCCACCTGTCAGGCAGGTGACACTGTTCCCCCAGCCCTAGCCTGGGGCCCCCATTCATCCCAGAGCTGCTCTCTGGCACCTTCATCATCACCCTGTGCTAAGACCACTCCTGGGACCTGTGCCCACCCCCAAACAGCATCAGGCCATGGGCCACTCCTGTGGCTTCAGGATGGCTCTGGGCGAGCCAGTCTGCTGGGCGGGTGGCTTGGGCTTAGCTTCCTCTAGGGCCTGAGTGTGAACTCATGGACACATCCCCTGATCCTGTCCCTGTGAGGCACAGGGGAAGCTAGTGGAGTGATGGGGGTTACAAAAGGGGACAGATGGAGGTGAGGGTTGGGGAGCAGCTATGGGGTTTGTTGTCAGTGAAACAGGCTCCGGGGCAGGAATCTCCTCAGCTGTTACCAGGGAGACCTAGTCCTCCAGCAGGAGTCGGAGCCTCAATGCAACAGAACATCCCTAGAGGCCTGCCTGGTGCTGGGCATGGGTCCTGGGAACGTGGACTAAACCCTCACATATATGTCCAATCAGGCTTCAGTCCAGGAGAACACAGCCTCATGTACAATATCAGTTGCCCCCTCAGCCGGGAGTTAGACCAGGATGCAGCCCCCACCCACGGGCCTGGCCCCATAGGCCCTGATTGGGGCAGACCAGCCAAACGCCACCCGCGCACGATTCATGTACTGGGCCTCCAGTTAGAAACACTCAGGTACAGGTGGGGGTGTCCTGCAGGGTGGCCTAGTGCCCAGATGCCTACCTTCTAAGTGTTAAACCAAGAGAGGGCTTGGCAAACTGCTCTCCTCCCACAAAGTGATAAAACCTCTTCATCTCAAAAAGACAGGAGTAGATAGACTCCATTGTAGCTTGAGCTGACTATGGCCCAGGCAGGCCTTGGTCCCTTGACCTCAGTCCCCACCACAGGGACAACCTGGGGTGCTCCCCTTCATGACTGGCCTGGGGCTGCCCTTCGGGTCCCAAAGTCTCCTCTAGAAGGAGGAGTGGAGCATCCTGTGGAGCTCAGCCGCTGACTGGCAGCAGAGAGATGTGCAGGCAGGTTCAAGGTTCCCCCTGGGCACCATCTGACTTTCTCCTTTATGGCCGGGGACTAAACACCTCAGGGACTTGGTTGCTCTGCACCCCCACAGCTGTGGTTTGAGAACATGCATGCCCACATAATGGAAGGGCAGAGGTTCTGGGTCCAGCAGGGTCCTGCAGTCTCACTGCCTCTCTGCCGTCCCTTCCATGTCGTTCAGGCAATGAAGCCTGAACCTTTTGCAGATCTTGTTTGCTCTTTGTAGGTTTAAATGGGACCTGCAACAGCTCAAGTGTCCCCACGTCAACTTCAGAGACACCAGACTACTTGCTGTGAGTACTTCCTTCCGGCTGGCCGCTCTTCTCCCAGGAGTTTCACCCCTGCCTCTCCCCCCCACCTCCACCCCTACCCTATCCTGCACTGCAGCTAAGCAGTGGCAGGACTAAGTCCAAGTCCCTGGGTGCCAGTTCCATCCCCTCGGCTTGTTCTAGGCCAGACTCTTCCTGGCTGTGGCTGGCTCTGCAGCCACAGGTACTCCAGCCTCTCTACAGCAGCCCCTGAGCCCCGCCATTCTCTCCCTTTTCCAGAAAATATGCCACTATCTCCTCCTCAGAGCAGCGCCAGAGCTACAAGAATGACTTCAACGCGGAGTACAGTGAGTACCGAGACCTGCACGCCCGCATCGAGCAGATCACACGGCGGTTCACGCAGCTGGACGCCCAGCTCCGGCAGCTCTCCCAGGGCTCCGAGGAGTACGAGGTAGAGCTTGCGGCGCCCTCCCCTGGGGAGATGGGTCTGTTCCTCAGTCCAGCTAAGCCCACGGCCTCCAAATCTGTCTGCTGCCCTTGGTGAGGAGGGGCTGAGCCAGCATTTTGATCCCTCGTGGACTGGCAGGTGGCCGTCCCTTGCTGGTCACTTGGTTCAGGCCTGGGTCTGGGCTCTGCCATGGGAGACGGAAGGCTCTCAGCCTCGTTGGCCTCCTCTGCAATGAGGACATTGGCATCAACTCTGCAGGTGGAACGTGAGCCCCGGAGGCAGGGACACTGGGTTGCGGCACCTGTGTCCTGCCTGTGAGAGGGCCTGGATCCTCTGCGGCCCACTACCCACATCAGGGACACCCCGGCCAGGAGGGGGAAGGCCAGGCCACACTGCACCACATGGCCCAGCTGTGCACCGCCAGAGCCGCAGTGGGAAGTGGGAGGGGAGGTGCGTCCCTGTGGTTTCCACCTGTGCTTATGGCAGGCCTGGCACATGGTCTCCCTTAGCCCCCGGGTGGGAGCGCCCTGCAGTGGAGGGTCTTGGTCTCCAGCTCCAAAACACCAGCCTCCCTTTTGAACCACCTTTTAGCGCTGGTCACCTGACTACAGGGCCAACCCTAATTAATCGGGGGTCAGGGTCTGTCTCCACTGGCCAGGCCTCTTTGGTTCCAGAGGAGGAAGAGAGACGGGGACCCTGCGGGTTTGGGACAGATGAGGCCTCAGGATAGCAATCCTCCTTCCTTCTTGCTCCTGTGTGGACATGCCCCCGCATCTCCCTGCACCCCCAGGTTGGCAGGGGCCTCTGTGCTTAGCCTTGAACAGTGGACAGGCCAGCTGGGGTGCATGGGAAGGAGGGTATCTGCCTGCTCTTCGGCCCCTCCCACTGTGCTGCCTTGTCCCTGAGCCTGGGCCGCTGCACCTTGCCCCCTGGTCCAGCTTCCTTCCCCCAGCCTATCCTCCCTCTGTACTTAGGTCAGCGCCTCAGGGCCACCTGGAGACTATTGTCCCCAGGCCAGTGGTGACGGGCAGGTCATGGGTTATCAGGGAGGCACCTCACCCCCTCACTTGGAGCTTCCTGCAGGCGAGGTGAGGTCATTGTTTTCTTTCTTTTGTTTTCCTGTAGACTACTCGTGGGCAGATTTTGCAGGAGTATCGCAAAATCAAAAAGGTAAATGTCTACCCCACTGTGGGGAGCAGCGCCCTCCAGCTCTCCCCCTGCTTGGTGAACAGCCCCTAAAGTCAGGGAGAGGAGGCAGAGTTCAAGCTTCAGCTGCTAATTTGGCAAGGGCTCCCGCCTCACGGGCTCGGGGCCTGGGGTCCCTGAAGATACGTGAGGTAGCTCCTCGCCCATGCTGGCCAGGGTGATAGCAGCTCTTATTCCTGAAGGCCACTGGCTGTGGGATCGCCATGCCTGTGTCTGCATGCCAGCTGGTCCCTTGCCAGCCAGGCCCTAGCTCAGCCAGGTTTCTGCTGATCTTGCCTCTGACCCGCATCCTGGCCACGGTCCCATTTTCCAGGGTAGGGCCTGGGGCTTGGGAGGGAAGCCAGCCGAGGGCTCTGGCCCACAGTGGAGCAGGGGTCCCTGTCCTTGCCCAGTGGGCACTGGCCTGGAAGCAGGAGCCATGGAAGCCTGAGGTGGCAGGTAGCTAGCATCTTCACACAGGACAGCTCCCCTTACAGCCATGCTCCCCATTATAGTGGCTGCAGGATTGGCTCACCCTGCTGCTCTCTTGCAGACCAATACCAACTACAGCCAGGAGAAGCACCGTTGTGAGTACCTGCACAGCAAGCTGGCCCACATCAAGAGGCTCATTGCTGAGTATGACCAGCGGCAGCTGCAGCCCTGGCCCTAGCCCCAGCCACGGGGCAGGAGCGCCCTCCCCGGATTGACCCTTCTGGATGGCAAGGAAGCTGGAGCTTTGGGGGCGGGGAGAGCTAAAAAAGGGGAAATTTTTTATTTAACAAAATAAACACGAGGAAGACACGTTTATCTGAGCCAGCAACGCCGGCTTTCAGGGGAGTCTCTGCGGACCTGGCGTCCACGGGGCGCAGGTCCAGGTGGGGTGTCCCCATCCCTGAGCCCCGGACCTCCAGAACAGCCCCAGCCAGGACCAGCTCCCCGGGAAGCCCACCTCTTCGCTGACTGCAGCCCCCGGGCTTCAGCTTCCTCTCACCAGAAGACTTGGCTGGCTTGCCTGCCTTTTCTAGTTTTATACAAAGACAGCCACTTTTAGCTACTGCTCATGAGACTTGAGTCTATTTTTGTATGAAAGAGAAAGCATCTTTTTTTCTAAACCTGTGCCTCCCCTCCTTGGACGCCCAGAGTCTAGGCGCTGCCTGGTCCTTTCTGCAGTATTACAGGTGCCAGTGGGAAGTTGGGCAGGGGGTCGGCCTTGGTTCCCTCCCCCATGCTGGGCTCTGGCCGAGTGCCCGGCCAGGCCCTCCAGGCCCAAGCAAGGGTGGGCTCTCTAAGGGGTGTGCAGGGCAGGTCAACCCCCAGGCCTATTTTGAGAACTCCAGCTGGCCCCAGAGCAGCTGGGGGAGCCCCTGCCCTGTCCCCTATTTCGGGGCCTCAGCTGTTGGGGCTCTGGGGTTCTCTGTGCTACAAGCTCATTATGCAGCTACAGTGCTGGACTTTATTCCATGTTCTCAATTTCCCCTTTGCTGCTGCTTTTTATGTTGTACTGTTGAGACCTCACTCCATTCCTCAGTCCCCTTATGGGTCCTGGGGTCGTCTTAGCAGAGCCATCACGGGGTATGCACTCAGGGAGGGGCTGGGGTTGGTGAGGTCAGGGGGCCTCCGAGAGTGAGCACAGGCTGTATGGATACCCCACTTGCTGCTTAGTCACTGTGCCTAGTATAGTGTCCTCCAGAGCATCGGGAGCTGTGTGTACGTGTGGGCCCGGGGCACCAGGGCGTGGCGGGGTTGAGGTTTGTACATAAGATTGAGAGCCACCTTCAGTGGGGTGGTGCACGCACACACACACACACCCCACAGGAGAGCGGCAGTGCTCACTCACAGCTGTGTGTGAGCCGCGGGGTGTCTCCTGATGGTTCCCAAAGAGCAGGTTCCTAGGAAAACCTGCACTGTGCCCACCCAACAGTCTCTTCCACGGCCCCTGGGTCAGAGCACCGAGGAAGCTCATCTTTCATGTTTTCCTCGCTGTTATGTCGTTTTTCATTTGGGACGCAGTGGGCGAAGGGCTGAGCAGACCCTGGACCCCACGCTGTGCAGACAGCTGTGTTTGTGGACAGGCGGTCTGGTGACAAGGGATGTTTGAGGAGGCCCAGCCCTCTGCCCCGGGAACCTGGTCAGCGGACTCTCAATTGAATTTTGTTTTCGTCGTCGTTTTTCTTCCTTTTCAGGAATTATGAAGCTAAGAAAAGTTTTGTGCTTTGGGGGTTGATGGACAAAAGTTCTAGCTGATTAAATATGGTCTTAACTTATTGATACTGTTTTGTTTTGTTTTTTTCTTTTTGATGTTGTGCTGTGGAGGGAAACTATTTTGAGCCATGGAGTCGGTGTTTACAAGGACTTTTCACTTTTGCCAAAATGTTACAAATGAGAAGCACCCACGTCTTCAGTTTCCTGATATTTTCTTAAAGATCTAGTGTCCTTTTTGTACACTAAACAGGTGAATGCTGATTTTTTCAACCTACAATAAATTTCACTGAACTGAATCTAGCAGCCCAGGCTGCATGGGTGTGTTGGTGTGTCTGTCACAGCCAGGTGGCCCTGGGCCTGTGTGGAGCTGGGCTGGGACCAGGCAATGGTGAGGGGGCAGAGAAGGCATTCTAGACAGCCTGCCTGCGCCGCTGCCAGCGGGTGAGCCTGGTGAAGCCACCAGGTGGAGCCTCGCCTCTAGGTGCCAGGGCAGGAGGCTAAGACCGCCTGGTCACAGGTAAGAGGAACCGGGGAGGCAGGGCCGTGGCAGCCACAGCAGGTGTGAGGGGGACTGTGCCTTCCCTGCCAACTGCAGTGTGGGTGGGTGGGCTGTGTCAAGCCGGGGGGGGGGGGGTCCCCCAGGCTCCAGCAGCACCATGTGGGGTAAGGAGAGCACCCTTATTTGGGTAAGCAACTTGCGATTGGTGAAAACAGTGGTGAGTAACTTTATTGTTAGTTCCTCCTAGGGCTGGCACTCTGGGGTCTCCCTTATGCCGCCACTGAGCACAGGGATGCTAAGGTCCATTGGAGCCCCACAGGCCCAAGGCAGCAGTGGGATGCCGTCCCTGACCCATGTTCCAGGTGAGCCAAAGACGGAGATCCTGGACTCCAAGGACGGTGGGGTTGGCGGGGGTGGGGGTGTTTATTTTGGGAGGGAAAAACAGATAAAGAATGAGACCAGGATTAATGTCCAGGGGTCAGGGATGTAAGCCTCAGCTGGCCAGCGACCTTGGCCTGAGTTCTGAGGAGGCTCGGGAATCGGGGGTGTGGGAGGCGAGGCCAGGTGGGCCTGGCAGGGCACCCCACTGGCCTGGCTGCCACATTCTTCCAGGGGATAACATGGCCATCCCTGTCTCCACACCCCAAGGCCCAGGCTGACACCTGCCTTCGGTCCTGTCCTTTCACACCTGCCTCTGCCAGCCTTGCCCATAGCACCCCACATCGCCTGGCGCCACCCTGGCCATCACCTCTTTAGTGTGCTGCAGCCACAGGCAGTTGGTTCCCTGACCAGCCTTCCTAAATCAAGGACACCATGAGTCCAGTTCCCCACCCCCCACGGCCCAAAAGTCTCCCCCCACGCCTGCAGACCACCATGGCTGAGGGGCTTGATGCTCCCCACCCCCTCCTGCCACACACTAGATAACATTCCTGATTGTCCTCTCACCAGCACCCAGATCCCACAGGCCCCTCCTGGGCGCTGGCCCCCTGGGCGCTGGCCCGCAGCAGGAACCGAGAAAGTTCCATCCTTGCCCTCAGGAGACGGTAGTCTCTGGCGGAGACAGTGGTCCGGTCTGGAACGGTCCCCAGTTGCTCACCACCTTGCCTGCAGGCAGCACTCAGCTGGTGCTGCATACCCAGCAGCCCTTGCAGTCATGTTCATAGGGAGGAACAGTCCAGCTGTTTCCCGCTAACCTCAGCGCTGCCCCTCGATGAGCCCGCCCGGCCTGCTCTGCCCCACCAGCCTCCTCCTGGCACCTCCCACACGCTGCCTAAGAATGCCAGCTTCCCTGGGGCTGCATCTTGGGGCATTTCTCTCTGCAGTCCCATGACATGTCTGGCCTGGAGGTGCGAGCTCCCTCTGATCCTCCAATTCCAACTGGACGTCCAACAGTTAATTTCTGGGGCTGGCATCACACCCCACAGCTTAAGCTGCTCAGTCCCACAGACCTCCCCCCCCCCCCCCCCCACTTTAGACACTGGCCACAAGTCCCCGGCCGCCCTTACTTCTGAACAACTGGCTGTAAATTGGGCTTTCAGACAACCCCTGTAGGCTTGGTGACTTTCTGGAAGGGCTCGCAGCGTTCAGAAAACCAACAGCCAAAGGGAGGAGATGCAAGGGCAAGGTCTGGAGACCAGCACGGAGCTCTGTGCCCGCTTGGTGGGCCACCTTCCCAGCACCTCGTGTTTTCACCCATGCTCCATGGATTAGGGGGTCTTATGGGTGCTACATCACATAGGCATCACTGAGTAAGTCACTGGCTACTGATCAAACCCAAGCTTTGCCTAGGAACTGGGACAAAACCCAAATACTTATACCATAATCTGTCCCCAGCCCTGAGGCCTGCCTGGGCTCCCCACACCATCTTCCTTCCCTCCCTAGCTGCCTTTTCAGCTGCTCCTGAATGCACTCCCCCAGGTTTTTGTCTGGGCAGCTCTTCATATCTCTTGATGTCTTCAGATCTGAAGATACACCCCGCCCCCCCAGCAGCCACCTCCTACAGGCAGCCTGCCCTGCCCAGCCCTCCTCTGAGTTCCCTCCAGCTGGGGATGCTTTAGTCCAGTGGTTGCCAGCCTGTCAGACCTCACAAACACCAGTGGTCTGTGGACCACTGGTTGGCGACTGCTGCTCTAGTCCGTTACCAACTCCCCACACTGGGCCCTTTGAGAGCAGAGCTGCCCTGTCCCCACAAGATCAGGCCCTGACCATGTTTCCTGCGAAAGTTCCCAGCCATCCACCTTTTGGGCCAGCTCCAATGGTGGAAACTTTTCAGCCAGAGGAGGCTGCTTGTTTTGGAAAGTTCCTGGGGGAGCAGCCCCCGCCTGCCCACCAGGTTCCCACGCTCCCTTATCACAGGGTGCTAGCAGCATGCGGTGGTGTGCAAGCCTAGCTCCTCCCCCAGCTGGCTGGCTGGGTCCTTCCCATTCCCTTTCTCCCACTCCCATTCCCTTTCCTCCCTCACCCACCCAACAGCCACCCTCCACAACCTGGCCCTGCCAAGGCCTGCTACCGCTGGGAACCGCGGTGTCCCAGGACGCGCCCCCACTCCCCACCCCCGTGAACCGTTAGAGGGCCCGGTGCTTGGCTATTACTGAGGAAAGGAGGAAAGAGGGGGAAGCAGCCTGGGCTGGAAGAGTGTCTGGCTTTGAGGTATAGTCCTAGCTCAGTCTTCTGCCTCAGTTTCCCCTATAGTATCTTGAACCCAGGGACACCTACTCTCATAGGCCCAGCAACCCTGTTTTGTAACTGGGGTCTGGCGCTCACTTGCAGCCTTAATGCCCTCTTTTGTGAAATGGAGCTAAGAGGCTGGGCTCCCTCACGGGCTGTGGTGAGGAGTGAATCCGTGCACCCAGTGCTGGGGCCGGGTCTACAGCCCAAGTTAATGCCCGCCAGCGCCCGACGGGGCGGACGAATGATAGCCTCCTGGGCTCTGCGCTGCAGGGCCTCGAACCCGAGTCCCAGGCCACTGCCGGCCCTCCCCCACCCCCTCTCCCCGGCGCGGGAGGAGCGAGAGGCGGGGTGAGGGCGGGGCCGGGGCTCTTTTCTTCAGAGTTCCAGCGCCCTGAGCTCAGCGCCCGTCTGAACGGACTCCGCTCCGGTGAGTGGGGCTCTGGATGGGGTGCGGGTCCAGGGACTCAACCGACTGCGCGGTGAGTGGGGCCTTGGTGGGGTGCGGGTCCGGTTAGGGCGCGGTGCCCGCACGCACGGCTGCGGGTCCCCGCCGGGCACACACAGGAATCAATGAGCGCGTAAGTGGAACAACACATCGATGTCTCTCTCTCTCCCTCCCCCCCACCCGCTCTCTCAAATCAATAATATGAAAACCAAAGCACACTCGCTTTGTTCTCGTGTCCCCATGCCCCCAGCTCGCTGCGATGGAGGCTGCAGCGCAGTTTGTGGTCGAGAGCCCCGACGTGGTGTACAGCCCCGAGGCCATCGAGGCGCAGTACGAGTACCGGACGACCAGCGTCAGCCGCGAGGACGGCGTCCTCAAGGTGGGCCGGGGGCCGGGGGCCGGGGGCCCAGAGAGCCAGGAGCGGGCGGGACTGCCCAACGTCCGCGGCTCCGGGCTCACTGGACCCCGCCCGCCCTCAGGTGCACCCCTCAGCCACGCGCTTCACCTTCCGCACCGCCCGCCAGGTGCCCCGGCTCGGCGTCATGCTGGTCGGCTGGGGCGGCAACAACGGCTCCACGCTCACCGCCGCGGTGCTGGCCAACCGGCTGCGCCTGTCCTGGCCCACCCGCACGGGCCGCAAGGTGGGGGTCGGATGGAGCCCCGGGCAGGAGATTGGCTCGGAGAGGATGGGTCCGCGGGGAGGGGCTTCCGCGGGGCGGGGACTCCCGGGAGCGGAGCCTGAGGGGGTGACTGGCTCCGGGGAGGCACCTCCAGCGGGGGAGTAGCGTCCACCCCGGCGGCTCACACCACGACCGCCCGCTGTTCCCACCCCCACCCTCCGCCGCCCCCAGGAGGCCAACTACTACGGCTCGCTGACGCAGGCGGGCACCGTTAACCTGGGCCTGGACGCCGAAGGCAAAGAGGTGTTCGTGCCCTTCCGCGCGCTGCTGCCCATGGTGTCGCCGGACGACCTCGTGTTCGACGGTGGGCAGGGCCCTGGGCGGGGGGCGGGGTGGGAAGCGGGGTCCGGAGGGGACCAGCCGTGGGACCTGGCTGACCCCGAGGGTCACCCCCAGGCTGGGACATCTCTTCACTGAACCTGGCGGAGGCCATGCGGCGCGCGCAGGTGCTGGACTGGGGGCTGCAGGAACAGCTGCGGCCGCACATGGAGACGCTGCGCCCCAGGCCCTCCGTCTACATCCCAGAGTTCATCGCCGCCAACCAGAGCGAGCGCGCGGACAACCTCATCCACGGCACGCGCGCGCAGCAGGTGCAGCACTTGCTCCCACTTCCGCTGGCCCCTCTCCCTGCCTCCTGTTTCCCTCTGGCCCCTCGTCGCCCTCCTTTTGTCCCCATGTCCCCACCCCGAGGGTCCCGGCCTCTGCACTCGAGGAGGTTAGTAGGCCAGGGCTCCACAGGGGATCTGTACAACCCCCCCCCCCGCCCCCGTCCCCCAGTTGGAGCAGATCCGGAGGGACATCCGTGACTTCCGGTCCTCCGCGGGGCTGGACAAAGTCATTGTGCTGTGGACAGCAAACACAGAGCGCTTCTGCGACCTGGTCCCAGGCCTCAACGACACCGCGGAAAACCTGCTGCGTACCATTCAGGTGGGTGCCCCGGAGCGGAGCGCGGTCGGGGCCAGCCCCAAGGACCCCTCCACTGACCGCCTTCCTGCGCCCACAGCTAGGGCTGGAGGTGTCGCCCTCCACGCTCTTCGCCGTGGCCAGCATCCTGGAGGGCTGCGCCTTCCTCAACGGGTCCCCACAGAACACGCTGGTGCCCGGGGCGCTGGAGCTCGCCTCGCAGCGCCGCGTGTTTGTGGGCGGAGATGACTTCAAGTCAGGCCAGACCAAGGTCAAGTCCGTGCTGGTTGACTTCCTCATCAGCTCTGGCCTCAAGGTGGGCAGGCCTGGGGGGTACCTGGTTCAGGGGGTGGGGGCCGATCCTGGGCTCTGGGCTCCCGGATCGCTCTCCCATGGTGGGGTCTGCAGCATCCTCACGGGCCTCTGTCCTCACAGCCCATGTCCATCGTGAGCTACAACCACCTGGGCAACAACGACGGGCAGAACCTGTCGGCGCCGTCGCAGTTCCGCTCCAAGGAGGTGTCCAAGAGCGGCGTGGTGGACGACATGGTGCAGAGCAACCCCGTGCTCTACGCGCCCGGCGAGGAGCCGGACCACTGCGTGTGTGGGGTGCAGGCGGGGGGGCGGGGGCACCTGGTAGAGGAGGGCAGCCCGTGTGACCCCGTCCTGCCCCCCCCCCAGGTGGTGATCAAGTATGTGCCATACGTGGGCGACAGCAAACGCGCGATGGACGAGTACACGTCGGAGCTGATGCTGGGCGGCACCAACACGCTGGTGCTGCACAACACCTGTGAGGTGTGGAATGCGTGGGGACAGGAGTGGGACCTCCCCCCCACCCCCCTGCCTGCCTGCACCCCCCACCCCTGACCCACCGGCCCCGCAGGACTCGCTCCTGGCTGCGCCCATCATGCTGGACCTGGTGCTGCTGACGGAGCTGTGCCAGCGCGTGAGCTTCTGTACCAACTCGGACCTGGAGCCTCAGAGCTTCCACCCGGTGCTGTCCCTGCTCGGCTTCCTCTTCAAGGCACCGCTGGCTCCTCCGGGCAGCCCTGTGGTCAACTCGCTCTTCCGACAGCGCAGCTGCATCGAGAACATCTTCCGGTGTGCCCCCTGGGGTGCCCCCCTGGGGAGGGGCCCGCCCGTGGTCCGATGCTCATTCAGGCAGGGCTGCTCACGGGGTGCTAGGGATCGGAGGCCCCGCTGAATCCCCTCCATCCTGCAGGGCCTGCGTGGGGCTCTCGCCGCAGAACCACATGCTTCTGGAGCACAAGATGGAACGCCCCTGCCTCAAGCGAGTCAGGCCTGGGGCCACCGCCAGCCCTGTGTCTTACAAGAAAGAACTGGCACCACCGGCCCCCGACAGCTGCACGGGTGACGCCGTCGGGCACCCGCAGGTGCACAGCGCCTGAGGCAGTGGCCGCGCAGCTCCCAGCAGCTCCCCCCCCCCCCCGCCCCTCTGGTCCACCCTCCCAGGCCTCCCAGACAATAAAGGCATTGCCACTGTCAGCTACTCCTGTGGGTTTTGGGGTCTGTGACCTAACCTAACCACCCCCCACCTTTTCACCTGGCAAAGACTCACCTACCCTCCAAAACTGTTGTCCCAATCTGAAATCCCAGGGTGAAGAATGTGGCTACAAGCCAAAATGAAGGAACCTTGAGACCAGATACCAAAAACCAAAACAAGTTACATTTATTGATGGGTGCTCACCCCTTCCTGTCCGGGGGAAGGGAGGTCCAGAGGAGTCCCCCAGGACAAAGTAGAAACGGGTGGGAGGGGGGAGCCCATACAGAAAAGAGCATCTCTGAGGTCCTTGCGTTTTTGTTTTTAATAAAATGAGTCCTTCATGCGGGGCCTCCAAGCCTTGACCAGGAGTCCGACTGCCCGAGGTGTGACCTCAGACCCTCCCCCTGCAGGCCACCCCAGCCCTTGGCCCCGGGCAAGGGCTCTGGGCAGAGGAGGCGGCCAGCACTGGGCAAGGGGCTGCTGCCCCATCACACGCTCATGGTCATCCCGGGCGAGTACTGCGGAGAGACGAGGGGTGGCGCGCAGGGGGGAGAGCTCAGCTCCCGCCGAGGCTGGGCCCACCCCCAGGGAGAAGGGAGACGAGGACTGGGAGAGGGAGAGGCATGGGGGAGGGGCAGGAGCAGGAATCCAAGTCAGGGAGGTGAGGCCGCCCTGGGGCGTGGGTCACAGGTGGGGCGGGGTAGGCATGAGAGCAGGACCGGAAGGGGCGGGGAGGGAGAGGATGCCGCGGCCGCCCCCCCACCTGGCCCGCCGCGGTCACGGTCTTGCTCTGGCCCCCCGGCCGCCCCGCCGGGGCCTGCCCGCCAGGCCCCTCCGGCCCGACGCCGCTGCAGGGGGGGAGTCGACGCAGTCGCTTACACTTTCGCTCGGGAATGGGTGCAGGAAAGTCCCGGTGGCCGCCATCTCGCCGTCATCCCGCGGGGTGCCGGGGGCAGTGCTCAGGCCGGCCACGGCGCCAGGGGAGCTCTGGGGGCAGCCGCAGTCAGCGCAGGCTCCGGGCCTACCCACGCCGCCGCCCCGCACCCGGCTCCGCCTGCGCGCGGCCCCTCACCTTCGGCAGCCCGTCCATGTCGCCCGAGCCTGTGGGCGACAGACACAGGACACAGGGCTCAGCGTCTGAGCCGGCCGAGCCGGCCCACCGACCTTTCCCTGAACTCCCCCTCCCCACAGCTACCCCCCATCCCTCCGCTCAGCCCACTGGGGTCTGGAAGGAGGGCCTGGAGGGGTGTCAGTGCTGGTAGCCACGTGTCCCCATGGTTGTTACTGGACCCTCACCCAGGGCAGCCCAGGAAAGCTCAGGGCGCCCCCCATGCCCCTACAAGGACCACAGGTGGAGGGATGGGGGAGGAGGAGTGAGGGGGAGTGATGGGGGAGGGGGAGGGATGGGGGAGGTGGAGGGATGGGGGCAGGCGCTCAGTGAGGGCCTGAAGCTAGCAGGGCAGCCTGCGGGGGTGGTGCCCACCCAGGCGCTTACTCACCCAGAGATCCGTTCACGTGGTGAGGTTCCAGCGTGCTCATGGCCGCCATAGGGCCCTCGGGGCCTGGGCCCAGTGGGAACTGTGGCAGAGGGGTGGTGTGGGACTCTGGCCAGCTGCCACCAGGGCAGCCTCTACCCCACAACTCGGCACTTACGTTAGCCCTGCCAGCGCCCGGCCCCATGGGGTTCATGATGGTGTACATGTTCTCGCTGGAGTTGGTGGAGTCTGGGGAAGACGATGCAGGAAGGCCTGGAGGTGAGTGGCCTCCCCCGAGCACACCCTTCCCCCTGCCACCCCGGCCTCGTACCTCCAGGGCTGGGCATGATGGGCGTTCCAGGGGGCCCCCCGCCTCCTGGAGGTCCCTGCACACAGAGGCAGACAAAGCATGAGGAAGGCCCCTCCTGCCACCCATTGAGCCATCCCGTGTTGGCCCCAGGACCCCACTCACCGTGTAGCTGCCAGGGGAGGAGGCAGAATAGGGGATCTAGGGAGAGAGGCAGCCGTGAGCAGTCCGCCAGCTGTTCCCCCCACACCTTACCCCTACCCACTGCCCCACTCCCCGACTCACCGAGTTGCCACTGGGGCTGGCCCACGGGCCACGCACTCCGGGGCCCCTGTTAGAGAGGGTAGATGGAGCCTAGAGCTGGACGAGCAGTACTCCCCCCGCCCACGCCCCACCCCGCGGGCCCCCTAAACGCCAACCACGTGAAAATCCCAACCCATCCCTCAGGGCCTCGGGCCTTCGTGTTCCCACCCAACAGTGGGAAACAGTGTCCCAGCCCGAGAAGCTGGTGGGGGCCCCAGGGCCTTACATGTTCATTGTGGGCAGGCCCGGGCCAGCGAGGGAGCTGGGTGGGGGCCGCATGCCACCTCCATAGCTCTGTGAGGGGAGAGGGCCCTGAGTACAGGCCAAGAGGGGGGAGCCCCTTAAGCCCCCCGGGTCCCCCCTTACCTGGGGCCCAACGTTGGCCATGCCCCGCGGAGGAGTCACCCTCTGCATCGGGCCCATACTCGGATGCCCTGGGGCGGGAGCAAAGGGAGGTGGTTCAGACGGGACACACAGACGGGTGTGTGTGTGTGTGTGTGTGTGTGTGTGTGTGGACGGCGAGGCAGCAGGGATGGATCGTGAAAGCTGGGGTCCTGATGGTGAACGCCAGCTGGTGCTTCTCTACTCACCCTGAACACGCGGGGAGGGGTCCATGGCACCAGGGAGGGAGCCAGGTAGGCCCACAGGAGGCTGCAAAAGGGGCAGCAAGGAGTGTGGGTGCCCTTAGCCCCCCAGCTCTTCCCTCCCCCCCCTCCTCCGGTCTGTCTTCCCGCTCTCACCTGACTCGGCATCCGCAGGGTGGGCCGGGGGCCCCCTGAGAACCTTGGGGACATGAAGGGCTGGAAGAAGTGGGCCAGGGGTCAGCACCTCCCCCAACCCACTCCCCCCCCCCCCCTCCAAAGCTACCTGGTTCCTGCTGTGCCCAGGCCCAGAGCCTGACTTACCCCATCTCCAGGCCTAGCCACTAACTGGGAGTGGCCAGCTGCCGGTGTGTGTGTGTGAGCACAGAGGAGGGGATGTGCGTGGGCAAAGGGACAGGGTGTCACAAGTCCTTACCTGAATGTGAGGCCCCATCATGGGGGTGTTGGGGTTGTGGGGGGGGCAGCTGGGAGCCCAGGGGGCCCTAGGAGGACAGACCGGGTGGGCTGGGAAGAGCCAAGCCACCAGGAGCTCTGCTGTTTCCTGAGGCCCTGCTAGGTGTGGGGAGGGAGGGGAAGTGGAGGGGAGGTGGAGGTGGCCATGCACCTGTCTGCAGGACTGAGCATGTCCCCTCCAGGAGGGGTCCCGGAGGAACCTGTGGCTCAGAGAGCCCTGCTCTGTGGGCCCGGGCACTCTGCATGCACACACACAGGTCTGGTGTGCAGTGATCCCCTCCTTCCTGCCTGCAGACCCTCCTCCGCTGGCCCCACCAAGGCCCGTGTGTGCATCCCCACGGCAACCTTCCCGCCGGCTCCAGCCTGCCTGCCCCAGGGCTTCTCCCCAGGGGGCCCCACACCCACCAGCACCTGTGCCTGTCATTCTCGGACACATGGCACCCAGAGTGGGGGGGGACAAGGGCCCCAGCCCTGGCTGTACCTGGAAGAAGCCGGGTGCCATGGGGCCGGCTGCCATGGCATCGTTGGGGGCTATGCTCCCCATCACAGGGCTGGGGGCGGCTGCCGCGCTCTGCAGGGGGGGAGACAGGAGGTCTGGTCAGGCCGGTGCTGCCCCAGCATTCCCTCAGCCACAGCCAATCCCCCAGAACAGGCACCCAGGCCATCTGACCCTCTGTCCACGCAGGGGAGGCCGAACTGCTGCCCCCGCCCCCGCCCCAGCTCAGCACCCTAACAAGTCCGCAGACTGACGAGCTGGGTGGCTTCGAGGAGGCTCTGCCTCCGGCTGCTCCTGAAAACCTGGCAGTGGGCAGGGCACGCCCGGCTGAGCCCCGAGAGCTCATGACGAAGGACGGGGACCCAGCGATTCCCAACCCTGAGCCCCACGCCTGAGGAGTGTGGAGTCTGAAAATGTCCACCACCCGGGACTGGCGTGCACTCAGCGTCCAGCACAGGCTGATTCTCTCCATCTGAATGCAGCCTCCACTTGGTAGGGACACCGTCCCCTGCCTCCCCCGGCCCCTCCCCACGCCTGGTGCCCTGGCTGGCAAGGCAGCTTAGCTGGACCCCCAGCTCTACCCAGCGCGCCCCGAACAACAGGCAAAAAGCCAGTCAGCAGCTTCGAGATGACACTCCCTCCCCAGGTCCCTCCTCAGAGCAGCTGTGCAGGCCACACCCCCCGCGTCCCCTCCCCCATGAAGGACTGGACTCTCTGGGTCCAGTTTCCAGGCCCCCAACCTCTTCAGATGGAGGAGGGGAGACGGCCAGGTGCTAGAGGGCCACTGTCTTGTGGGCCAAGGGCAGAAACGCAGGGGGCAGGCTGACAAGACTCTTCCTCTGGTCAGGCTTGTCAGCTTTTTGGGGCCCACAGAGCAGGGGATGGGGGGATGGAAGGCTAGTCTACAGGGCAGAGGGGAACATCAAAGGATAGGGAAGGGCACGGAGTAGAGAGCACTTTTCTGGGGGCCCCTCCACTCCGGTCTGTCTGCATCACCCACCCTCCCCCAAGCCCCAGGAGGAAGGGGAGACTGCTGTTCCCCTTGAGGAATGTGTGGAACTGCAGCCTGGCACCCTTCCTGCTCCTTCTCAAAGGTCCGAGACCCCAAAGGACTCAGGCCCCACGCTGGGCGTGCTGGTCAGAGCCTCCCCGGACCTCCGTGGCTGAGAGCGCTCCAGGCCCAGCACAGGTCATTCACCTGACACCCTGAGGGGAGGGGTGGGGGAGACAAAGCTCTCGGCCCCTGGGTGTCCTGCCTCTCCCTCAGGCCCGCGCACACACAGCCCAGGAGCCGCACACACAGCCCAGGAGCCGGTAGCAGCTCCTCTGGCAGGCACCCCTTCATGGCTGCAGGGGGGCACTTTCTGTGCTCCGGGTCTGTCCACCCGCACTGCCCACCCCGTCGGCACACCAGGCGCCAGAGCATTTCCTGGTCAGGGAGGGAGGCGAGGGAGGTGGTGGGGAAGGCTGCAAGCGGAACTCAGGACCAGAAGGGGGAGATACGGTGTACCCTTCACCCGTGGCTGCCCAGCTCTAGGCCCTAAAGGGTTAACACACAGCCTCCCGGATCCCAAAAGCACCAGCCAGCATTGCCAGCAGACTAGCTGCGGGTGCTGGGTTTCTCGAAGATGCTCCAATGGCCTGGCGAGAGGGAGGAGTGTGTGTGTGCACGTGCGTGTGTGTGTGTGCGGGTGCGTGTGTGTGTTGGGGGGGTGGGGGAAGAGGCTCCCTAGGAAGGAAGGCAAGATGACTCCAACTAGAGTGGGAGCTGCAGGGACCCATCACCCTCTGCACCCCCACTGCTGTGCCTACACGGGTTCCCCCAGGCGCCCTGCTGCCATGGTAACTGGTGCGCACAGGGAGGCACACACACACCAACGTGGAGCCTTGGTGTTGTCCTCCGCGGAGGCAGCAGAAGTCGTCAGACTCAGGTGGGGGCCGGGCAGGGAGGGGAATGGCCCCAGAGACGACGGAGAGGCACAAGGAGGGACACAGCTGCAGACCCCGAGCCCCAGGTCTGGCAGACACAGGCACGACCAATGCACAGAGGGATCTGATGGGGGCGAACAGCAGGGACCCAGCTTCCATGCATGCACATACAGTGTACGTGGGGCAGCTTCAGAGACATGTAAACCCCTACCCCTCCTGTGCTCTGGCCCTGCAGAGAGCCCGGGGTTGAGGTGCCATTGCAAAGAGACAGGTGGGGGCAGCTACACCCTGGGAGGCCTGAGGGGAAGAGGTGAGGGCACCAGCTGGGTGCACAGGGAGGAGGGAGGAGAAAGGGGAAGCTGGCTGAGTCGATGCCTAGCCCTTGGGCCCACAGCCTAGGGCCTCCCAAGACTTCCCTGCTCTGCCCTTGACCTCTCCGAGAGGCGCCAGGGAAGAGGATGAAGGCAGAGGGCTGTCATCGGCACCCCTGATGCCCCCATCCCCTCAGGTCACTCCTTCCCAGGCTCTGGTGCTGCCCCTCCCCCCATCAACCAAGAGGGAAACTGAGGCCAAAGCGGTGAGTGAGCAGCCCCAGCCACAGAACAAGGTCAGGAAACCCTGGCTCGGCTCTACCCCAGGAGGTCAGAAAGGCTGGGGTGGCGGGGGGCGGGGGACAGGAGACAGGGGACGGGGCAGGTGGTGGTGGACGCAGGAGCTGCCGTCTGTCTAGCCTGGCCCAGGGATTCAAGTGAAGAGGACGGGGAGGGACTGGCCTCGGGAAGGTGTGGGGGCTCCAGTGCAGTGGAATGAGCCTCCTGTGGGTGACCTGAGGCCCAATGGAGGACAGAGGAGCCCAGGCGCTCAGCCCTGCACCCTCCCGCCCCGCCCCAGGCCCAGGCCCCAGGCCCAGGCCGCCACCCGCCCCGCCGGGTCCCTGGGGCGGGACTCACGTAGTCCTGGAAGGCCTTGGCCTCACTTGAGTGCTCACATGCCTCTCGGCGGTCGGGTGCTGCACAGTACAAGTCCCAGAACACGCTGTGGGTGGAGGGGGGTGATGGTTTTCCCACTGCCTCCCCCGCCCCCCTCCCTGCCTGCCCACGCCAGCCCCACACGCACCACCACCAGGAATGCAGGAAGCCTGGGGGCTCCCCCAGCGTGATGTTCTTCTCCCATCGGATCTGCACGGGAGAGGGAAGGCCGGTGAGGAGCCGCCGCCCAGTGTGCTGGGCCCGCCACCCGCCTCGGCCAGGGAACACGGGCTGGGACCAGCGGTCCGGAGCCAGGCAGCTGGGAGGGGACAGCTGGGCACAGCCAGGGCAGGGGAGCGAAAAGCAGACCCTCGCATGGGCAGACAGACGCCTCTGTGCCAGCTGCCGAGCCTGACCCGCCCCAACCCTCAGTTCCCGGGGCACCACCGCTGGAGCCCTGACCGGTGCCAGGAGGAGAGGGCACTGGGGGAGGTGGAACGCAGGGCCAGCTTACCTCGGACAGAAAGGTCTGTGCGGACTTCTGGGCACCGATGTGCAGCAGGTACTCGTACACGTACAGCGCCAACCTGCAGGCAGGGGACGCGGCTCAGGCTCCCGGGAGGCCCGGGCCAGGTCAGCCTCAAACCCGCCCTCAGGGTTCCTGGAGGGGCTCTCAGGCCAGGCCCCTGCCTTCAGTTGGGCAGGTGGAGACTAGGGGCAGGGGGCCCCCACTGAGTCCTCATTGCACCCACCCCTAGCCTCACTTTAGTCCCCCAAATACCCCATCGCCTCCACCCCTCACAGGAGGTGGCCTCCCCCTAGTTTCTCAGCCTGGCCAACTCCTACACATCCATCAATACCCGGACTGCAGGCCCCTCCTCTAGGCAACACTGCCCACAGCCCCGACCCCGCATTTCCAGGCCCAATCCCGGTCAGTTCAACACCCTCCTGTGGGCCAAGGCCTAGCCCATCCCACTGATGCCAAGACCCCAGAGCGGCCTTGGTCCTGGGAGGAAGGGCTCCGGGTGCCTCTCCTGACTGTGCACTCCAGGGGCCTCTCAGCACGCACCCTGAGCCACGCACAGCACCCGCACCTCCCTCCCTCCCAGCCTTGCCCGCGGAGGAAGCAAAGGGCCCGCTTTCCTCCCCGAGGCCTTCCTCCTCCAGTGTCCCTGGGCCCCATCCTCCTCCTGGAGTCACTGCCTGCCAAGTCTCTGCACCAGCCCCCAGGAAGTCTGGGGCCCTGTGGGCGGTGAGAGGAGACGGGGCCAGCAGTTCCACTCGGCTGCCGAACACCCGCAGTGCTCGGTATGCCCCCTACGCAAACTCAGCAGCTGCCCGCCCCAAGAGCATGGCCACTTGCCAGCAGCACCCTCTGGGGGCCACACGGAAAGCCTGCAGGCCTCCCAGGCCACAAAGCCTCCCAGGCCTCTCCATCCTCTGCCTCAAAGCCTCCCAGGCCTCTCCATCCTCTGCCTCCACCTCTGCGTCCCCTCCCGTCTGCCTTCTACACCAGCGGGCAGAGGGGCAGGATCCAGCCCCTTAGCCACTCCAAAGCCTTCCACGGCACTAACACCATCAGACGCCTGACAGCTCCAGCCCTCCGTCCTGCCCCCAGTACCTGCCCCATAGGTCTGCCTTACACTGGATCCTCTTCCTTTCTTCTTCCATCTGTCCTCCCTTCCTCCCTTTCTCTTTCTTTCTTTCTTTCAACAAACATTTGCCCAACACCGCCGTGTGTAGCAAACACTATAGACCCCTTCCCCCCTGGAGGCTACCAGCCTGTGAGGAGGAACAGTGCAGCAACAACACAAGAAGGCACGTTACGGGGCAGCTGGAAGGCAGTGTGCACCAAGGACGGACCGGGGGGAAGCGGCCATTCTCTGAACCAGACCACAGTCTGCACCGCATCACCGCACCCTCCTGGCAGTGCCTCCAGCCCAGGACTACCGCCCCCTCCAGCCCTGATTCCGAAGGTGCACCCACCAGCAATCTCCAGCGTCTGCCCCTCTCCCTTCCTCTCTGAAATCAATAAAAAAAAAAATATATATATATATATATATATATTTTTTTTTTTTTTAATAATAATAAAGGCCCAACCTCAACTTGCCCTGACCAGTTTCCCCTACCCCTGCCCCTGCCTTCCACCTCCAACCTGGATGGTTCAGCCTTGGCTCACAGAGGTGTGGTGCATACTGTCCCCTGAGAGCGAGATGGTTGCTCTTATTAAATGTGAGTAAAATCTTAAGGAGAAAACTCTCCTGCCATCTATCACACACACCTGGTCCAACACCTGGTCCCGGCCACCGTCTCTCTTACCTGAATTTTGACAGGACCCCTCCAATGGCTACTCTATCCCAGCCTCTATAGTCTACCCCCTCCCCACATCCCCCCACACACACGCACTGGCCACCCCCTATGCTAGGCCTTCGCACAGGCCACTCCCCTGCCCGGGGACCTGCATGGCTCCAATGTCACCTGTCAGAGGCTGCCCTGTTACACCTACCTCCGCCCTGCCCCACTTCTCCGCCATCTTATTTACCTCCACTTGACACATTTAAAAATATATACTTTATTGACTTATTTTTTATTTTTTACAGAGAGGAAGAGAGAGGGATAGAGAGTTAGAAACATCGATGAGAGAGAATCATTGATCAGCTGCCTCCTGCACACCTTCTACTGGGGATGTGCCCGCAACCAAGGCACATGCCCTTGACCGGAATGGAACCTGGGACCCTTCAGTCCGCAGGCTGACGCTCTATCCACTGAGCCAAACCGGACAGGGGCTCTTGACACATTTTTTGCTGATTGCCTGAAGCCCCCATAGAAATGTAGCTGGGAGGGCAGGGACTTGGTCTCTTTCCCTCCCTGCTAAGCTCACAAGGGGTGGACTGAGATGGGCGGTGAGCACTGCTTCGATGTTAAGCGTGTGGGGTTTTACCCCAAGAGCAGAGAGCATCAAGCAGCCAAAGAAGGTTCTCGGTTTTGCTCAATTCTCCGAGTGTCGGTACTTTAAGTTTTACCCGGATGGAGTCTCAGGGAGGAATTCTGAGCTGTTTTCTTGTTTTTGGTGAAGAGTTGTGCAGCGGGACATTTGGCCGGGTTGTTCCAGGACCTCTAGGCAGGACTTCCGGCCTCTGACCAGCCAGATTCCGAGCTCGGTCATCAGGAGGCCGGGTCTCCTGAGCTGAGTCCTGGAGGCCGAGCAGAGGCGGTGGACACAGGGAAGCCCCTGGAAAGGGCTGGAGAAGAGAAGGCACCTGGGAAGAGGCTGGGAGGAGGGGGAAGAGGGGTGGGCACACGGGCTGGGCAGGGCAGTGGTGACACAGCGATTTGTTAAAGCCGTGGGGACTGAAATGCAGCACCGCCACCGTGATTACCAGGAATTACCGTCATTACCAGAAATTGGGTAACAAGTGCTCCCTGCTCGGTGTCCTCCTCCCCACTTGAAGCCCATGTTCTGGGAGCAGTGAGAGACCAACTACTCACAGCCTTGTGTCACCCCTCCCCCACCCCACCTAATGGACCAGCCCGTTCTCACTGATGCCCCCCAAAGGGGTTATCCAGCCCACACACTTCCTCCCTCCTCTGTCACCCTCAAAGCCAGGCCTGCAGCTGTCTCCTGCCCCCTCATCAGCCTCTGGGGGCTCATCTGCCCACAGCTTTCCTCCCACCCAGTGGCCAGGGACAACCACCCCCTTACAATTCCCATCCCACCTCCCGCTCCTCCCAGGCCCCAGCCCTTTCGCAGGGGCTTCCCTGTGTCCACTGCCTCTGCTCGGCCTCCAGGACTCAGCTCAGGAGTTTCCTCCTCAAGAACCTCTTACCGGTGCCTCACCAACAAGGATGCCCACACAGGGTTCCCCCGGAAGCAGGGGCGGCTCTGTCACGTGCTGGGCTGTAGACAAACCCTCCGTGTCTACCACCTCAAAGCCAGCCCCAGGAGGAACACACAAGACGCGCAGTAACACCAACCCCGGCTGTCGGTCCTGGACCTGTCCTAAAGCCGCTTGGCAGGGCCAGAGGCTCGAGGAGACACACACACCGCAGACCTTGACACTTCTCCCCCGGTTCACTCCTCGGAGGCAGGAGTGGAGCAATGCAAAGCGGACAGAGGGGCCTCCAACTTATCCCTGTCACCGTCATCCCTAAGCTAAAAAGACCCAAGCCCTGGCCTGTGTTGTCTGAGCGCTGTCCCATGTACCAGGAGGTCACTGGTTCGATTTCCACTCAGGGCACATACCCAGGTGGCGGGCTTGATCCCCAGAAGGGGTGTGCAGGAGGCAGCCAATGGATGTTTCTCTCTTTCCCTCTCCCTTCCTCTCTCTCTAAAATAAAAAAAAAATTATAATAATAAAAAAGTAATAGTAAAAAGACCCAAAACCAACTACAGATGCAAATACTAGTTCATTCCAGGTGGCAGCCATCCTGGGCCTCACCACAGGCTTGCAATGTTTACTGTTTACACAACAGGCTGGGCCTTGATACAAGGAGCCCACGAGGACCCCAGCCTCCCTCCCACCCCCCAGGCCGCCCCATCCCGGTGCTTTTAGACTTTGCTGTGCATCCCTGAGGGCAGGGACCACGGCAGAGTGTGTTTCCAAGGCCGTCCGACCCGGCTCCCACATTGAGACAGGATCGGAAGGAAGGAGAGGAAAGCACAGAGCAGGAGATCCAGGGACCTGAGCAGCAACTCCTTCACTCCGTTCACAGCGGAGGAAACCGAGGCTGAGACAGGAAGTGGCTTCGTTGCTGGCTGCCTGTGCAGGTCCTCTACCTGCAGCCTCTTACCCAGGCCCCGTGACAACCCTACAAGGCCCACATTTCACAGCAGCCAGTCCCCTCTCCAGCCTCTCCCTGAGCGTGGCAGGTCACTTCCTCCCCACGCCCTGGCGCCCCCTTTGGTGAGACAGGGGATGGAACCATGTGGTGTTTTCCTAACTTCCTTTCCCAGCAGAACCCCATCTCCAAACCAGCATTCCTCCGGGACCCTCTGTAAGGCACAGGTGAGCACAGGATGGCTGTGGCCAGAAAGGGGGCTGGAGAACAGGGGACACGGCACCTCTCGCCGCCACAGGGGATGTTTCTGCACATTCCCCATCTCTGAGACCTTCTGCTGGGCAGGCTGAGGAGTGAGGGGATGATGGGGGAAGGGACCAGGACTCAGATAACCCCAGCCCTGGCCAAGAGTCAAGGCCAGGTTCAAGGAATCAAATCTCTCCTGGGATGACTGATGGGATTGAAACCCAACTCCCACCCAGCCCCACTACCTTCAGCTCAAATCTCTGATTCTCTCCTTTCTTTGCTCTCTTTGCACAGTCACACATAAGCTGCCGTCATCAGCTCTTACCCAGGTCCTTGTGCCCACCTCCCCCAGACGCCCTGGCCTCTACTCCTGACCCCCTATAAAGCCACCCTCCACTTTCACACACACAGGCCCCTCTGGCCTACGGAGCCCTCAAGGACTGCTCTCCTCCACCCAGGGCACCGCCGGCTCCTCTGCCAGGCCTCATCCCAGGGCCTCTGCACCTGCTGTGCCCTCAGCCACCTCCTCTTCCTCCAGGTCTCTCTGCACAGGACCTCACACATGACTATCACTCTCCTCCTTTGCTTTCTTCATAGAATATCTTGAGATCATCCCTCTCCTTGGCCTCCCATTTATTTGCCCAGGTAACCTGACACCTGCCTCTCTGCTAGAATGTAGGAGTCTTCAGGGCTGGGGCCTGCCTTCCCAACTACCACACTCTACCCACACCCCAAAACCAGTGGAGGAAGATAACCAGGGACACACCAGGACCCCCAGGGATGGGGTGGCAACGCCAAGACATGCCCTGCTCCCAACCTGGGCAGGAGCCAGATGCCGGTTTCAGAAAGTCTTTGTGCTTCAAGGTGCTTGAAAACGGAAGCCAACCTCCAAACTGTGCGGATGGGCAAGGAAGGCCTGAAAGGACAGTTATCTGCCTTGGCACCTTCTGGTTAGATGACCCCAAAGTTGGGCAGAGAATGGACTTGTCCTTGTGGAGGGGAGGGGCGGTCCCATTGTCAGCTCGGGCAGAAGTGCAGGACAAGAGAGGGGGCAGCCAGCCCACACCCAGGGCTCCTCACCCCCGGCCTGGCCCACGAGGAGCAGCATCAGGGACCGCTCCAGAATGACCGGCCTCCTCTCCGTTCTGGCCGCCTGCTTCCCAGCAAGGCCGCTCGAGGCGGCTGGGTTTCTTAGGATCCTGCCACCAGGCCACTGGCTATCAGCCACGGGAAGCCTTCCCTCCTTCGGGCACCTCTCCCTGGCACTTGAGCAAAACTGCCAGCACTGGGTGCCCTTGCTGGGGGAAGGTCGCAGCTCCGAGCACCTTTCAAGCTCTCCCCCATCCTGAGAGATGGCACTGATGTAATACTTTTGCATTTCTCTGGAAAGGAAACAGCCCAGGCGAGGGGGGCACCCCAAGCCACAGAGAGATGGTAGGTGGCAATGCCAGCTCCAGGCTGCCGCCATGTCCCAGACCGAGCTCCCGGCTCTGACGGCCCCCGGCCCCAACCCGCAGGGTCTGGGAGTGAGTCCTCCTACCAGCCCGAGAGCACCTCGTATCCAGGCTCCGACGCCACACCCAGACAAGAGGAGGGGCTTCTGGGTCCGCTGCAGGACTGAGCCGTGCGGCCTCCCAGGGGGGCCCTCTCCGCTGCCAGGGGACAGGTGGCCTCTCTCACTCTCCGAGAGGCGCGAGGGTCCAGAGAGGCCGGCCAAGCGGTCCTGGAAACTCCCCTGGAGGATGCGGGAAGCGGCGGGGGTCGCCATCCCGCGCGCACGCGCGGCCGCAGCCTCACTCGCTCAGGGTTCTGCCGTCGGGGAGCTCCCCGACCCTCAAGTCCGCTCGGATACCCCCCACCACACCCCAAAGTCACGCCCTCAAGTCCCGCGCGTCCCCGCAAACCTCCCAGTCCTCCAAGCCGCTGGGGTGTCTCGCGCTCCTCGAGTGTGGCGCGGCCCCCGCAGCCGTCAACGCACACCCCGTCCGCTCCCAGGACCTCCGGGTCCCGCCCGCCCCCTCAACCCTCACCACTCCGTGCGCCCCCAGCGCCCCCCAGGCTCCGCGCCCCGCACACCCTGCGCCCCTCGGGTCTCGCGCTCCCTCGCAAGTCTCGCGGCCCCTGGACGCACTCGGGTCCCTCACGTCCGGCGGCCCGCGCCCACGTGCCCCTCGCAGCGCGCGCCGGCGCGGGGCCCCCGGAACCCCCGGGGCCGCGAGCTCCGCCCCCGGCCCCGACTCACTTCTCCCGGGCCTGGCTGTCGGAGGGCACGGCCGCGCTCTTGCCCCCTTTGGCGTACATACTGCTCCGCGCCGCCGCCGCCGCCGGGCCCACACCTGTCAGGCGGCGCGGCGGGCCGCGCTCGGCGTCGCCATAGCTACCCGCGCCCCGCGCTCACCGCCCCGCGCCCGGCGCAGGCACCGCGGGCGTCATCCGCGCGGGGGAGCTCCACACGGCGCGGCGGCGGCGGCGGCGCAGCTCCGGCCGCGGTGTATTTTCTTCCTCTTCCCACAGCGGCTGTTCCGGGAAGCGCGCGCCCCCTCCTCCCGCCGCGCGCGCCCCCGCCCGCCGCCTCCCGTCGCCCGCGGGCGCCGCTCTTAAAGGGGCGATGGCGGGCGCGCGGGCGGGTCCCGCCGCTGGAACCGCGGGCCGGCGCACGCGCAGGGCGTGTGTGTGTGTGTGTGTGTGTGTGTGTGTGTGTGTGTGTGTGCAGGGTCCGTGTGTGTGGGGTGTGTGTGTGTGTGTGTGTGTGTGTGTGTGTGCAGGGTCCGTGTGTGTGGGGTGTGTGTGTGTGTGTGTGTGTGTACGCGGGCAAGGCTAGTGTGTGTGTATGTGTGTGTGTGTACATGTGCAAGGCTAGTGTGTGTGCGTGTGTGTGTGTGTGTGTGTGTGTGTGTGTGTGTGTGTGTAGTGGCCCGATAGCATCTCGGGACACACAGTGGGACACAGCTGATTAAGATTATTTGCGAGCGCGCACACACGCACGCACGCGCGCCTCAGATAGGACCTGCCACCCAATTCACACCCCCGGGAACACAGCCACACAGTTGCAGATACGATCTCAGACCCAGGACACATGCACGTCCCACAGACACTGGAACAACTCCTCTTTGGGCAGTCACCGAGTGTATCACCCCGCAGGGCTCCCACACTCACCCCCAGGAGCGTGCTGGCACACAGCGGTGTGTGCAGAGCCCGGCAGTGGCTGGCACAGAACGGGAGGCACATCCCACGCTCACAGGGCACAGCCGCCGCGGCTCTGACAGCCGGGGAGGCCGCAGCAGCTATTTCCACCCCGGGAGCTCCCTTTGTCCCGGCTTCCGGAGGGCTTTGTCCTGGGACCTGTGGCGTCACCAAGCCCATGGACGCCACAGCCACACACACCACACACCACACAACACAGACATACCCCGTGGACCAGCCGCTCCTGGGGTACACAGGCCAACGCCTAAGGGCCATCGTGCCCTGCTCCACAGTCACACTGTTAACAGTAGGTGCTGGGTGACTGTCCACCGGGTCACCTCGCTGGCAGGCCTCTCAGTGCTGCCAGCTGTGGTAAATGAGGCTCGAACCACCTTTAACTGTCCCTCTGCAGGAATGAAGGGTGCAGACAGTGGGTGCCCCATCCCCCTCCTGGGCCCTTCCGTCCGCAGGGGGCATGCAGAGGAGAGGGGCAGACCCTGAGACAGGGACACCCTCGGGCACCCGTGCCTGGGCCCAGGGGAGGCCTGTGGGCCGTTAGCGGATTGGGGGGGGCGGGGTGGGGAGGGGACTGGAGGGGGAGGGGCCGAGCGGTCCAGTTGTGTGAGTCCAGGTCTGGATGCTTCTATGACTGTTTGCCATGGGTGTGTGTGTGTGTGTGTTGTTGTTGTTTTGCTCTGCAACAACCGCGAATGTGTGTGTTCCCGTTCCTGTGTGAGCGCACGTGTGCATCATTGCGCCTGGGTGTTGGCAGACACACAGTGAACGGCCCGGTGGTGTGTGTGTGTGTGTGTGTGTGTGTGTGTGTGTGTGTGTGTGTGTGTTGGCGATGGTGTGGAGCCGAGTGATGCAGCGTCAGGTTGTGTGCACTTGTGTGTGCGCGCGCGTGTGCCTCCACGCGTGGGTGGACGGGGACCTGTGTTGTGTGCTTGTGCACTCGAGCTTCCTGTGTCATGTTTGTCTTGATGGGGACGCCCCCTCCCGCTGCCTGCGGAACCCCCGTTGTGCCTCCCTCTTTGAGGCCGCCGGCCACCACGCAGGCCCGCAGGCGGGTGGGGGCGGGAAGCGGGGAGCCGCTGGGGTTCCAGACGGGCGCGGAGGAAGGGAGGGCCAGGCCGGCCCTAGCCCCGCCTCCACCCCAGGGGCCCCGGCCGGGAGGGACGGGGGTGGGGGGTGGGGGGGGACGCCGGCCCTGCCCATTTCCTGTCCAGCTGGCCGTCCCCTCCCCCGCTTCCTCTCCGCGGGCCTCCCGGGCCCCGCCGGCGCGGAGGAGGGGCCCCAGCTCCGGGCTGATGGGGGTGCGGCCAGCATTCTTGGGTCTCGCCTGGAGATGGGGGACTGGACAGCCCCTTCCCAACGCCCAATCCCACCTCCGATCTCCAGCGCCTGCTCCCCACGAGCGCACAGAAAGGGAGTCACACCGCGTGGTGACAGCTGAGACCCCCGGCCCCGAACACGCGCCTCCGACACCCCCGGCGCCCCTCCCCGTGTTTGTCTCCCAATGCCCGCGGCTCCCCGGGGTGCTGTGTGCCCTGGGCGGGTCCCTCGTCCTCTCTGAGCCTCGGCTCCTGGAGTCATACGGTGTTTACTGAGCGCCTGCTAGTCCCCGGCTCCGGGAATCACCGCCCGGGGAGCGGAGGGTGCGCTGGGGCAGGGGAGGAGGAGACGCCGGAGGGCGGGGAGGATCATTCCACGGAGAGCCACGTGCTGGGCGGGGGGCGCGGGGGGTCCCCGGGGTGGGGGTCCCCGGGGTGGGGTCCCCGGCGGAGGGGGCGGCCGGCGGCGGGGCGGGCCGGCTCTGGAGGAGGGAGAGGCGGGGGCGCCCGCCGCCCTGCGCGCTACGAAGGGGGAGGCGGGCGGAGCGGGAAGCGCGGTTCCCATGGCAACGGGCCGGCTCTGCAAACAGCCCTGGCGCCGGCGGAAAAGCCCCGCAGAGGCGGGCGCCGGGCCCCACCGGCGCCGGGGAGGCTGAGCTGCGCGCACGTCCAGCCGGGGGCACGCGTGGCAAGAGCAGAAGCCACAGAAAGAGCCCCCCACCCACGCGAGGGAGGCCTGGGAAACGGTTTTTATCGAGGGTGGAGGTGGATTAGAAAGATCTGGAAGCAGAAGGTTCACCCTGCAGTCAGTCACAGCAAGTGCAAGTGCCCCGAGGTGGGCACAGCGTTCCAGTGTCGGAGGCGGAGCGAGGCGGGCTGTGTGCTCCCTGGAACGGGGGAGACGGGGGAAGTGATGGCAGAGGAGCCAGGGTTGGGTTTGTTCTAGAGGAATAGTGAGCTGTGGAGCACTGGGGGCTGCTTTTAAGAAGCCGCTTGATGCCGGACCGGTTTGGCTCAATGGATAGAGCGTCGACTTGGGGACTGAGGGGTCCTGGGTTCGATTCCTGTCAAGGGCTTGTATCTTGGTTGCGGGCAGATCCCCAGTGGGGGGTGTGCAGGAGGCGGCTGATCGATGACTCTCTCATCGATGTTTCTAACTCTCTGTCTCTCTCCCTTCCTCTCTGTACAAAATCAATAAAAATATATATTTAAAAAAACATCAAAAAAAAAAAAAAGCCGCTTGAGGCTGAGCGGTGCGGGAAGGCTCGAAGGAAGCAGGGAGGTTGCCCCGGGAAGAGGCCTAGGTAGACAGGGCCATGGGCCAGGCCAGGGGCCCAGGAGCGGGTCCTAAGCAAGGAAGGGTCAAGACTGGACCCCAGGGGCGGTGGGAAGGCAATGGGGGAATAAGGACACATTTTTAATACCTTAATAAACGGAGGGAGGAGAGAGAAACAAACAAAAAAGGACTGGATCCCAGACCTGCCACCCCTTCGCAGTCTAGGGCCCATCCCTGTGGCTGAGTGCGAGGATTGCAGTCCTGAGCTGGGTCTCCGTCTCTGGGGACCCCCACGACACCCCCTCCCCCCATTCCTCACCGCGGGGTGTGTGTGTGGGGGGCAGGTTCTGCTTGTGAGGTATGGGGGGGGGGGGGGGCGTGCCTGGAGGAGGGGCCTTCCCTCCCCTCCTTCACTGTCTTCCAGCCCCTCCATTCTCAGTCCCTTCCAGGGCCCACCTCCTAGGCTTTGCACTGGCTGCTCTTGCAGCCTGGAACTCGCCCTGGCTCCAGGCCTGGCCTATTCTGGCTCCTCCTTTGGCCTTTGGTCCCAGCAGTTCCTCCTTCTCTCCCTTTTCCCCCTCTTCTGCCCCCTTCCCCCTCCTCCCCTCCCCAGGCCATATCCTCCATAGTACGGGTTCCACACTAGCCCGTATGAGACTTGTCTCTGCTGATCAAATAATGCGCCCAGTTGTGTGCAGCTCTGCCTCTCTCTGGATGGGCCCTCCCTGCGGGCCCAGATGTCTGGCTGTGAATATGTGGCCAGAAGTAGCAGGGAAGGCTGATTGGGGGTTTTCCCTAATGTTTTTTTCTCTCCACAGGAGATGGAGGGCCCCTTCTCATTAAAGTGGGAGGCTCGGGGAGGGGCCAGGATCCGGGCTGGCAGCCCTGCCACGGAGCAGGGTCTGCACCAGGAGGCATTTCCTCTCTGAGCTGTAATTATGGGTAATTTTCTAGCTGCAACACAAAAATTAAAACCCAAACACCAGGAAGGAAGAAGCCGCAGCAGCTGGTGAATATGGTGGTGGGTGAGGGTGCTGAGGGGTTGGGTAGGGGTTCCAGCCCAGGGGTGCTGGTGGAGGGGAGGAGGGGCACAGGCCAAGGGCTGTTCAGACAGCACAGACTTCTTGGAAAACCAGCAACTGCTTAGAGTCTCAGGTTACTGAAATGGGGAGTACACCCCAAGACTGGTCACCTCAAGGCAGAAGTCCCTTGGGGGATCTGGGCCTGGGTTTGAACGCTGGCTGTTCTCTGTGTGGACTTGAGCAGGAGCTGACTGAACCTCAGCCCAGCCAGTCCACTGCCCTGCTTCCAGCACCTTCTGTGATTCCCACTGCCCACAATTTTAAGTACCTGCCCTTCTGCCTTGCACTTGAACTTCAGAGTCAACCCAATCATTAAGAACCTGTGCAACCAGCACCTCATGAGAGAGGCAGCGTTCCTCTTCCCCATGTTACAGATGGGGAAACTGAGGCTCGGAGAGGCGCCAAGGGAGTCACGTGGGCAACCCA